TAACAGATGCTGATATAGACTCCTTCCTTCAAGAGCAACTTAATAAAAATACTTCCAAGAAAACAAAGTCTGATTTGAAAATTTTCCAATTGTTCTTAAAATCAAAACATGATGACAAAAGAAACATTGAACAAATACCACCACAACAGTTGGACAGACATCTTAGTTTTTTCTTTCTTAGCGCCACGAAGGAAAAACAAACAAATGGTACTTTTGAATATGAACCATCATCTCTTAAGTCAATACAGCAGAGCATTAGCCGACATTTAAAGGATAATGAGTATGAATGTAATATTATAACTGATGATGAGTTCCACAAAAGTCGTCAGACTCTGAGCGCAAAATTTAAAAACTTAAAATCACTTGGTCTTGGTAATAAACCCAATGCTGCAGACCCTTTGACAGATGACGATCTCAACAAATTTTACATGAAAAAAGTTATGGGGTCAAATAGCCCTCGCTCTCTTATAAACGCAGTATATATTAATAACAATTACCATTTTGGTTTAAGAGGAGTAACTGAACATTATAATTTATGTTGGGGTGATATATCACTAAAAGTTGACACAAATGGAGACGAATACCTCCAGTATTATCGTGAAAGGCAGACAAAAACAAGACAGGGCGAAAATATAACAAATCTAAGAAAATCAGGACCAATCGCAGTAGAAAACAAAATTGACCGCACCAGATGTCCTGTGTTTCAATATAAACTTTTTCGACAAAAAAGACCAGAAACCATGAAAAAAGAGGATTTCTCTTTTTATTTTCAGGCTTCAACGTTTCAGGATAATAACTATGAATCAAAAATTCTTTGGTACAAAAACCTAAGACTTGGAACTAAATCAATTTCTAAAATAATAAAAGATATGGCCACGGAAGCACTACCCAATAACGATAAAAGACTCACTGGCCATAGTGCAAGGAAGGGTTCAATCCAAAAACAAAAAGACAATGGAGTGCAAGACACAGAAATTGTACAAAGAACAGGACACAAAAATGTTAACAGTTTGCTGTCGTACTCCAAAACAAGCTTGGAACAACAAAAAAAAACATCTCTAATGCTATCTTCAACAAGAGAATTACAGCATCCTACAGTTACTAAATCAGATAATAAAGAAAATACCTCACCAGTATTAGAGACAATAACATCAACACAGACTCAATCAACTGTTAGTAACAACAGTAAACAGTCAATTTACAAAGGAAATTTTAATTTTTCGAAATTACATCCCGCAATGAGTGGTCTTTTCACCAATGCAACATTCCATGGTGGAAATTTCAATTTTACCTTTAACAATGGGACATCATCGTCATCAGATCAACAACCCTCAGATGACAACAAAAAGAACAAAAGAAAGCGTCTATGCGTAATTGACAGTGACAGTGATAGTGATTTCTAAAATATAATAATCATTCAATTCATTTATTAGTTGTGGGACTATAATCCAATATTTTCATTACTCAGTATGCTTTAACAACTTTTTAAAACTAAACGCAATAAATATCTGACCAACAAATGTATTTTATGTATCAAATCAATTGCTAAAATAGTATGAATTTCTCCAGATGCTCTACAAATAATAAGACTCACTGAATCAGTATCATACTATAAGTGTAAAGAAAATAAAAATAGTCTTATACTGAAAATGTGTAAAAATATTTTTGCTTTAAGCAATTATGATTTAATGTATTTGCAAAGAGAGCAAATTAACAAAAAAAAATCATCTTGCATATCAACCTATTATTACTAGCTTCAATTTATTTCGTGTAACCTGAAACCAGTCTGCAAATTACAAAAAAATAAGAAGATTCAATATAAAAACACCAATAAAAAAGATTTATCAACTAGAGATGAAAGCAAATTTACATGTCCGTCATGTATATGGCCTTTAACAATGATCAAAATGCATACTGTGTAACAAGCTTTACACAAAAGCACCAACCAAAAAAAAGCTTTTGAACAACAGATAATTTGGTCTAGTTTCTACATATATTGATATAAAATATCAGTCGCAAGTTACAATGTGAAAACTGGTGTAAACTGTAAATCATAATTATATTGGCTAAATCAAGGACAAATCCTTGGCTATATGTACATTGATTATTCACATGAGATAGACTCAAGTAGGCAAAATATTAAATGATTAATACATGTTAAATTCCATTCATAGTATTTATTGTTTCAGTGTAACTAAATTAGGATTTGAACCTAAGACCTTCTCATAAAGAGATGCTCTGACCCCTGAGCTACCTAGTTGAATACACTGAAAGCATATACATTTCTCCAAGAATCATAAACATGATGTATCTTATCATTTAACTCAAAGTTACCAAAAGAATGATACATTTATATCAATGTTCATGGACCAACAGTATGCAGCGAAGCAATATTGAAAAACATTTCAAAAATTCAGGTGATCTGGTTTTGTTATTGTTCCTTTAAATTTTATCAGGGAAGAAAGTACCCGCGGAAAATATGTTTTCCCCAATTATAACATAAGGCAAAGCACTTATAGGAAATGGTACCCAATAACTTGAACCAAATACCGTCCCAATGCAATTTGGTGGGGAAGTTTGTACAAAAATAACACCTACATTCCATGTCCTCTCACGTACAAATGGCGGGTACAAGGTGCGAGATGTCGAGGTATTATTACAAAAAGGACAATTTACCAATACCTGTCTTTCTCAAATTAACTTCTCCTTACGAATAACAACTACCAAATATGTATGTACTCTCAGACTTGATACAAACAACATTTTGATGCGATATTTTTGGATTTTTTTAGTGCCGCGTATCCTTAGAAGTTGTTCAGCAGTCAGCGAGTAGAAATTTTCCTCTTCTGTTGATATGAAATACTTCGATCTTTCAATCTATCGTTAAGCCTTGTTTCTTTTTTTTTTGTATCATCTTCAAATATCATACATCAATATATGCATTATCATGTACAAAACACATTTTTCTTCATGTAGTTAATGGGAATATTTTACCCTGCGTATTTTGGCCGCAAGGTGTTCCGCGGTTTAATATGTCGATGACGTGTGTTGCCTAGTATCAACAGAGACACTCCGGTAATAACAATTCCCGCTAAATTATTAAAAAAAGAAAATTTTGATCAAAAACATTGATTTGAAAGATGATAAAAATGATATCTAAATGTGGATTGTATAGATATTGAAAAATATCAGCCCGCTCGACAGAATATGAAGATAAATGGCTCGTTCGCTACGCTCACTCGACATTTAGCTTCATATTCTGGCTCGCGGGCTGATATTTTTCTATATCTATATATCCACACCCAGATAACATGTACTTATCGATTATGAATATCTAGGATACAACTAACTCAAGCATAGTCGGACTGGAACGTTATTTAATGTAATGATTGACTTGTTTTTGTTATGTTTATGTCTTTCCAAAGTTTTTTTGACGAACGCACCTGATAAGTTTAACCTGCAAGGACATATATAGGTATCACAATTTCATTTGTTTTCTAAATTTTGCTTTTTCAAATACTAGGTTTGTGTAAAATGCGCCTGACTAGCAATTCGTCTTTAAACCGTCAATTGAAAAGGACCATATGCTAATTGTAATTTTCTAAAAACTTTAGAGGTCCTGTATTTTTTTTTTTTTTTTTGGGGGGGGGGGGGGGGGGGGGGAGGGGGCATTTTAAGGTAGTAATCACACATAACAACTGATAATATAAATTTATAAAATTCATTTCGTTTATTATAGTTTAAAACAAAATTTAAATGTTTTTTAATGTTGCATGAAATGAAGAACATATTCAGTTTTGAATATTGCAGAAGATTCTGACGTTTTGTACTGTTTATGTTGTAGCTATATGAAACCTACTTCGATATAAATAAACCGATACCAAGTATAGGATGGATAAAGATATAGACAACAGTTGTTTACCGATGTTCATATCTCATTCTGTGGAATGGTCTGTTATCAGCAGATTAGTATCTTCGATGTTACAGGCTTCTAGCTTTTGGACAGACACAAAACGAAATTGGCGTGGTTACCATGATTGTGAACGATTTTCTAAATACATTAACCTTGAGAAGTAGTATAAAGTTAAATCACAAAAATACTGAACTCCGAGGAAAATTCAAAATGGAAAGTCCCTAATCAAATGGCAAAATCAAAAGCACAAACACATCAAACGAATGGACAAAACTGTCATATTCCTGACTTGGTACAGGCATTTTCTTATGTAGAAAACGGTGGATTGAACCTGATTTTATAGCGCTAAACCTCTCACTTGTATGACAGTCGCATCAAATTCAGTATAACACCTTACATGAGCTGGTTATTTCAAGAAATATTTGATTTCATTGTATTTGCCCTGTCTTTCATTGCTTTTTTCATAGAGATAAGGGCTTTTCATTTGCAGAATTTTAGTATCTGTTTTCGAATCTTGTTTGATACGCTTGTTCTTGGATGTCATGAATATTGTTACAGCTTGGAGATCTTTATTCCACTAATTATAATTTCTATCTAAACACGAGCTAAAACATTCAACACTGAACGCCTAATAGTGTTTTCTACTAGTTTTAAGAGTACCACAGTTCGGGTCATACTTAGTATACTCTAAACTTACAGTTCTCGTTAATTTCAAAAAGACTTTGACATATCATGCATTTGGACCTTTACCAATTTCATAGTGTAACTATAAAAATAATAAAACACTAATAAGATGATGGTGTAACCAAGATCTACCCCCATAAAGATCTCATATTTGTAAATGTTAAAATTGTGATATCAAGGTTTACAATTACTTTTATATTTCTAATATTAGATGGTCGGTAAGATGAATTCGTTGCACAATGCGCTAGTGACCTAATACGATATATACAGGGTCAGTTAATTTCATATGGGACTCGAGTTTCGCTTGCTCTCGCCCGATATGGAATTACTGACCTCGTATATATCGTATTAGATCACTAACACACTATGCAACTGATAATATTGGAGCAGTTATAGTATAGTATAGTATAGTATAGTTTTATTCCGGCAAATTCAAGCATATTTATAAAAATTCACAAGACAAAACAGTATTAATAATATATATATATATATATATAAATACTTTTAAAATAGTATCGTAAAGAAGCCTGGGATATCCCATAAAAACTAACATAGTATAGCTTATTTCCAATGGGGTCCCTTGTTTGAAAATATATAAAAATAATATTTCAAATCATATGTTAGAATTTGACTTTCACCAAAATAAAAAAAAAAATTGTTTCTTAAAAAAACATATAAAACATCTCCATTTTCTATGTTTCTTGCTGTTATTTTCAATTGTTCTTTAACTGCAGTCTTTAAAGCAGATCTATTTGATATATTTTTTATGTTGGCTGGTAGATTGTCCCAGTCTTGTATAGTATTATAAACAAAGCTGTTTTTATTACAGTTTTTAACATTTGGTACAAAATAATTATCATGTGCAGCACTTCTGGTATTATGATTATTCAAGTCAAAATGTTTACATAAATACTCTGGAGCATGTCCATAACATATATTGAATACTTGGTTTAATCTAAGTTGACTAACTCTATCTTTTACATATAGCATATCAACTTTATCTAAAATATCATATGTAATTCTAGTCCTTGGACCTAGACCTAGGATGAATCTCACCACCTTATTCTGTACAACTTGCAATCTTTTTGTCATCCCTTTGCCCAAACTACTATACCACGAAGAGCAAGAATAATCGAAATAGCATTGTATCAGAGCAGATGTGAGAGTCATCCTTGATCTAGTATCCAAACATTTGGCATTTCTATATAAGAACTTAATCTTGCATTAACTTTTTTTATGACATTGGAAACTATTTGTTCACAATTTAAAAAAATATCAATGTGAACTCCTAAATATTTTGACACAATTTGTCGATTTGATAAGGTGATCATTACATTTGACCTGAAAATTAATATTTTGTCTAATCTTTTTTTGGAGGTCCAAAATGCATACATTCAGTTTATCCTAGATGTAAAGACAGTTTATTAAGCAGTTATGATTAACAAAGTGTAACTGTTTGCTCCCTTTAATTGCACTTCTCCGCGTAGTGTGTCCGTTCCATTAGTTATCCAAATGCCGACTATTTCTTCTTGCAGTCTGTAATCATAACGATACTAGAAATTACAGCATTGATTTCTCCTGTTACACATAAAATGAATGAGTAGCCTACTTTGGACCTGCTTCCAAGATCAACAAACACACTGGCATAGATTAGGAACAGTCCAATTGGTACAAGAATGAAAATAGCTGCAAAAACAATAAAATCCTCATTGAATAAATAAATAAATACAAAACTTACAAATAGGAAAAGAATAACAAAATATAATTCGAAAACACTATATAAACAATTACCTCTTTGATAAACACTATCACACGTTAAATGTACATGCAAGCATTCAGCGTAATGCTAGTGGGTAAGAGGTCAATTGTTGATATAAGAAAAATAACATTGGTATGCGTCAATAATGCAGCAATAAAACGACACTAAATATATAACGGGATAATTGAGTATGGTCTAAATGACAATCAATGTATAGTGTGTTATCAGGATAACAAACAGAATAATCCTCTTGTAAAAGAATTTTAAGATTTATTTATGCTACGTCTGCTATCTATAACATTTTAATTCTCTTAAGCGGAAAATCATTTCCAATACGAAAATGATTAAATAGCAAATGTATCCCTCATTTCAATATGTTCTTTTAAGAAATTTTAACTTTTCGAAAATAACTACTTTACATTAGATTGATAATTTACCGTTTTTAACCAGGAAACTGTAATATAATGTAATATTCTGAAATGTATGGTATTTTATTTGCGTCCTGCACACAAAGATACCAACATTTTAATTTGGTACGTCAGACGCACATTTCATTAACATAAGACCCATAAGTCTCGCCCAAATCTTTAATTCGCTATAAAATCAAATAGGCAATTGAAGAGTATTTAAACAAATGTTCAGATAAGTTGTGCCTTATACGATTCCAAAGCGATCTATGTCTATCTATATAAACTGAATTCACATATTTTGGGAATCAATAATGCAATTAAATTAAACATACTTACCAAAAGCAAATGTTGTTATGATAGCAATAATTAGCCATATTTTTTTCTCCTGGAAACAGAACAGCCTCAAACATGTGGATACCATACCAACTATGCCGTAGATTAAACCCATTATTGACATCCCTTGACATACCTTCACATATGCTTTTAACGAGAAAGAATGAATAAATATATTGACAGTTTGTTTTTGAGACCTTAAGATTGTTAAGACATCTTCCTGTTGTTACCTTTATTGACTGACTACGGAATCTTGTTGGTTATTTGAGTCGTTAGATTTTTGTCTCAAAGACGTATATGTTATATTACCTTTTCACTCCTTATATTAAATAATTTATTTGCGAAGTTTTAATCGTATATATCTGTTTTCATCTATATTTCAATATGTAAAGCATTATGTTGTAGTTTTTGATAACCTGTGATAACTCATCGTATAGTTGTTGCTTTGTTATGAGTTAAAGTTTTATCATTTCATGACCTCCGTATTACGAGTAATATTTCTGTTTTTTAAACCTAGAATTTTTTATTTCAAAAGTAATTAATGTATTGATTTTTGGTATTTAACGTCACTTATCAGTTCTATTGGCTATTTCGTGGCAGCCAGTTTGTATAATGGTTTGTAAAACAGCAAAGAAACTCTAAACTGAGCATCAAAAACCAAATAAAATACGGGGTAATATCATGTGCTCCTTAAGGGTATGCAGATCCTGTTCCACATTTGGCACCCGTCGGGTTGCTCATACAAGTATTAACCAGATCTAATTCGGAAAGTCACATTTGACGGGATTGTGGTTATGACAATAGGAATACATTCGTCGTCATCTGTGAAAGAGAAATTTCCTAACGATCAACTAACCCGTGATAGCGTCCGTTACATTTTCGAAGGGATGTTTCAGACTTCATCACTGGGAACGCCTGCATGTTTCAATACCTTCCTTGTAAGCAGCAAACCTCTATCAAGGGAATCATGATAGGAAACGCAAGGTCTGGAATATTGTATCAACTGAGTGGTGTATACTTCATATGCAGGCGCTGCTGGAATTTTGCTACATAGAAATAGAAATTCCACAATTGGGAAGCTTATATCCGCTCTTTTGTCATAAAATTTGTCATTTTCCTTTTCTAGATGTAAGTCAAGATATGAGACAGACTTAACTGTATCTGTTGATTTCGTCTGATTTTGTCAGTTTTATGGACTTCCCCTTTTTTAATTTGCCTTGGAGTTCGATATTTTTGTTATACTTGTGTTTTTATTATTTCCAGTTCGATGAGATAGATAGTTCAACATTGTCATTAAACTTTGAATTATTTAGTGAGAGGATATCATCTATGTAGCAGAACGATAAATTAAAGGATGATGAATAGTAGTATACCGGTGTTCAAAAGTCGTAAATCGATTGAGAGAAAACAAATCCGGGTTACAAACTAAAACCGAGGGAAACACATCAACTAAAAGAACGTTTATTTTCATTATTCCTAAAAAGTACATGTATGCACATGATGTAGTAGGCCTCCATTGAATAAAGACACTAGAAGAGGATTTCAGGTGGTTACCATGGAATGCCGATTGATTGTTGAAAACCACGTTTTAAAAACGTAACAAATATGTTGTCAATCAAAAAATCAACCATCTTGAAAATGTCGGTATCACGAGCCCTGTAGTCAGTACTTGTGTGTGGACATGAATTATCATCGATATTGTCATAATAATACGTTAACGATTGACAAAACTTTACATTTTTCGAAATACTTTGGATTTTCTACCCCAGGAATAGATCACCTTATCTGCAATTGGCAAAAGCTTTCAGAATTTTGGATCCTTAATGTTGTACAACATCGTATAATATAAGAATAAAAAGATGTGGTATGATTGCTATTAATGACAAAACACTCCACAGACCCCAATGACATAGAAGTTAACAACTATAGGTCACCAAAAGACCTTCAATAATGAGCAAAATCCATACTGTATAGTACGCTTTAAAAGGCACCTTATATATAAACGTCACCAGTGTCTGAGCAGAAAGTTGATGAACCAGGGGTTTGTCAAAGAACGTCTCGACCTTTTTCTAAAAAAGTTCATCGGAAGGTACCAAGACCTTGTTGGTAAATATTCCGTATCACCTTCACAAATAATACACGATGGTCTTGAAGTATAGATTCTGGGTACTGACGTTGTTTATCATCTAATAATGTGTTATAGTATTCATTTATTTGTCTTTTTGAATATTACCTTAACTGTTTAGTATATTTTTGGTGTTATTCATTTGACTTGGCTAGGTACTTATACATCCCGTCATTGGGTTATAGTGCTATGGAAAATTTTTATGTTCTTGTCTTTCATTTTGTCTTGTGTGCTTTGTCTATATGCCTTTTTGTGTTTTTTTGTTACATATCTATTTGTACTTACAGTGATTAAGATTATAACACAATGTTTACTGTTGTAATCGAAAAATTCAAAGTTTGGTAACAGGAAATTTATAAAAATGACCATATAATTGATATTCATGTCAACACCGAAGTGCTGACTACTGGGCTGGTGATATCCTCGGGGACGAAACGTTCACCAGCAGTGGTATCGACCTAGTGGTGTAAAAAGTTATCAAAGGTACCAGGATTATAATTTAATACGCCAGACGCGCGTTTCGTCTACATAAGACTCATCAGTGACGCTCAGATCAAAATAGTTATAAAGCCAAACAAGTACAAAGTTGAAGAGCATTGAGGAACCAAAATTCCAAAAAGTTGTGCCAAATACGGCTAAGGTAATCTATTCCTGGGATATGAAAATCCTTAGTTTTTTCGAAAAATTCAAAGTTTGGTAACAGGAAATTTATAAAAATGACCATATAATTGATATTCATGTCAACACCGAAGTGCTGACTAATGAGCTGGTGATACCTTCGGGGCCGAAATGTTCTCCAGCAGTGGTATCGACCCAGTGGTGTAAATAGTTATCAAAGGTACCAGGATTATAATTTAATACGCCAGACGCGCGTTTCATCTACATAAGACTCATCAGTGACGCTCAGATCAAATATAGTTATATAGCCAAACAAGTACAAAATTGAAGAGCATTGAGGACCCAAAATTCCAAAATTTTTTGCCAAATACGGCTAATGTAATCTATTCCTGTTATCCAATTGTTTGATGTGTTTGAGCGTTTGATTTTGCCATTTCATTAGGGACTTTCCGTTTTGAATTTTACTTTTTATATATTATACAAAAATATCAACCGTACACTTCCAACATCCAATGGAAAGGCAAATCGTCCCTTTTGTCGTATTTTTTGTTGAGAATTTCCCGTGTAAAACTTAATTTCTAAATCTAGGAAAGGACAGTTATTACCGTATGTATTTGATTCATTTAAAACCAGTACCTTTAGGTAAATTTCGGCAGTGTATTTAGAAAAATTCTTGATTAATTGAATGCAATTTAGACGGGTTTTTACTGAGTTTGGCTATAAACTGTGAATCATAACAGTACAACATGTAAAACTTCTCAGATTTGAGCTAAAATGACTATTTTACACAGAATTTTGTGGACTATATATGAGCCAATATTGCCCTTAAAGATTTTTAACAACACATTAACATCTCGGTTAATACATCGTCCAAATAACTATTTCTTTCGGGTAAAGCTCATAACTTTATATTCATTACAAGATATCAAAATGAGGCTCGAAACTGATCAGTGGCGACCAAATCAAACCATATGGAAGGCCAAATAAAATTCAAAGAACATTGAAAATAAAAAATGGCCAAAAGTTGTGATATAAACGACCACGGCCATCTATGCCTAGGATTTAGAAAAACCTCGGTGTTTCGAGTAAGTCAAAATTTTATGTAAAAACATTTAAAGAAAATGTATATTAATATTGAATGTCAACACAGCAGTGTTGACTAACGGACTCGAGATAAAACTAGACTTGGGGTAATTGTAATTGTAATCATTAATCAGCTGTAATTGATTACAATTTTTCACGTAATCATTGTTATCATTAATCAGTCGAAAATCGGATTTCATGTAATTGAAGTAATCAATTGCTTTTCAAAATATTTGTAATCCTGATTACTTTTTGGATACATTCTGATTACACTGAAAACAATTCTCAAACTTTTTGACACATGTCAAGATAAGGAATATTATTATAATATGTTTAATTTTTTAGATTTGTTTTAGGTTAATGAGGACAATTAAGACCCTGATTTTTATTGGATTATCCAAAAGAAATATGAATAATATTTATAACAAATTTATGGGATTCAAAAATCTACATTTCTTATATAATATGAGATTTGAAGTGAAAGGCTAAACATTCTCTGTTTTTTTTTATCAAAAAGAAAGGGAAAATATTGAATTTTATTTTAATATTTTTTTTCAAGGAATAAAAATTTTATTGAACATAGGTCTTTCATAAATAATTTATGCTAGTATAAGTTTACACTTAATTGATTTATTTACTTCTTTAAAAATAAACTGTTACAGTATGGAAAGTCTTCATTCATTGTCATTAGCCTAAGTAAAAAGTAGTATACATACATTCACAATACTTTTCTTTACCATTAATTATATCCATTTGTTAATATTGCGATTATTGTCACCTTTGAATTGACAGGTAGGAGACCAATTGAGGTGTTTTTTTTATTTCAAGATAAAATTGAGAATGGAAATGGGGAATGTGTCAAAGAGACAACAACCCGACCATAGAACAGACAACAGCAGAAGGTCACCAACAGGTCTTCAATGCAGCGAGAAATTCCCGCACCCGGAGGCGTCCTTCAGCTGGCCCCTAAACAAATATATATACTAGTTTAGTGATAATGAACGCCATACTAAATTCCAAATTGTACACAAGAAACTAAAATTAAAAATAATACAAGACTAACAAAGGCTAGAGGCTCCTGACTTGGGACAGGCGCAAAAATGCGGCGGGGTTAAACATGTTTATGAGATCTCAACCCTCCCCCTATACCTCTAGCCAATGTAGAAAAGTAAACGCATAACAATACGCACATTAAAATTCAGTTCAAGAGAAGTCCGAGTCTGATGTCAGAAGATGTAACCAAAGAAAATAAACAAAATGACAATAATACATGAATAACAACAGACTACTAGCAGTTAACTGATGAACTTATTTTGAGTAGCTGTATCTAGGGCAATATGATAAAGATAAAAGAAAATTTATCTAATTAGCACAAACAAACATTGTGACAAATATATCTAAATTATTATATATCGTCGGGTATTTTTAAACAATACTATATCAATTATAGGTATGTTTTTTCATTGGTAACAGAAATACATATAGTATCTGTAGTAAGATGTCAGAAGGACAACAACCAAGTCTCATTACAAACCATTATTCAATCGACGTCAACTATTTCAGAGATTAACATGATTAATAATGATAAAATGTAATGGGCCATAACCAGTGATAAAATGTTCATGTATATATGTTGTGAATCTCAGTGGTATATCAAGTTGATGAATTTTAAATTTATTATTTAATAACATGTCAAAAAGTAGAATACAAAAAATACCGAGCTCCAAGGAAAATTCAAAATGAAAAGTTCCTTATCAAATGGCAAAATCAAAAGCTCAACAACATCTAACGAAAGGATAACAACTGCCATATTCATGACTTGGTACAGGCATATGTAGGGAATTTTATCAAACAAAATCCTTTCTTAAAACGTGGTACAGTTATATCCGTATTTAGATCATTCAAATAGGTTATTTCAATTAATCGTACAATTGTAATTTTATCAATTACATTTAAACTATTGAGTCGGACCAATCTCTGTCAGTGGCGTCACTGATGAGTCTTTTGTAGACGAAACGCGCGTCTGGCGCAAATACAAAATTTCAATCCTGGTATTTATGATGAGTTTATTTTCGACCAAGATGCATTTAGAGAGAGAAAAAAGACAAATCTTTCAAAATAAGATGATGTGTGCATTTCAGAATAATTTGGGTTACGGACTCATCTTTGGCAAAACCTTTCGGAATTTTGGGTCATCATTGCTTTTCAACTTCGTACCTTATTTGCCCCTTTTCACTTTTTTGATTCCAGCATCACTGATGAGTGTTTTGTAGACGAAACGCGTGTCGGTCGTACACAATTATAATCCTGGTATATATATGATGAGTTTATACCAAGCTTATAATGTCGGGTGTTTCGTCTTTGTTAGATTCGTAAGTTGTGGACAAATCAACATCATTTCAAAGTTGGAGAGCATTGACACCCAAAATGTTAGAAAATGTTTGCCATATTCAGCTAATGCCATCTCTGTCAGACGTTTAGAATATAAAACTTATTGTTTCAAGTAATTCAAAACATTTATAATTCAAAATATTATAGAAATAACTATATCTATTTCATGTCTTCACAGAAGAAGACATCATCGTGTATTGAACAATATATCGTCAACATGCTGTATGTCTGCATTGATAGTATCTGTGTCATTTCGTCTTCATAAAACCCATCATTGGTGCTCAAATCAATCAGCGGGAAGGCTGGAAGTTGAAGAGCACACAAAAAAAAAAGATAAATCAATAATTTGTTGACTACTTACGTAAGTCTATTTCGATTTCTGTGTTTATGCATGTCGTGCTGCCAGATAAAGTTTTGCAGTACTTCCATAAACCAGCATGATCAGTTCTATATATGATGCAGTTACTTCCAGAATAGCATGTTTCATTGTTTATTTCGATAAAATATGGAGTTGAAAATGCAATAACAATCATCAGGAATGCCACCAGTAACAAAATAAAAACAAGCAGTAACATCCTCTTGTTACAAGCCTTCATCATGCGAATAAACTGCTATAAAATACAAAACAAATATTAAAAAATTTGATTTTCGTTTGAATTACATCTTGAAAGATAAGTGACACTGCTATTGAAATATCGCTTAGGTCCTCTTTATCGAGTGTAACAAGCAGGGGTTTTGGAGGTCTGTTGTTGTTGCTTTTTTTTTGTAAATGTTTGCATGATGTTTTTATATCTTTTGATTGAACTTGTTTTTCTGTACATGAAAATAACACTATACAAATTTTTTTTGTAGCATATTTCTAGATAAGATGTCGAAGTCAAAAAGTAAAAAAATTAATCATGGTTCTTTGACTAAAGTAGAAAATACGTCATAAATAGTATGAGAAAAATCGACAATTATGATACTTTTTGTGCAGACCATGATTGATGGGTTAACAAGTGATAAGGATGTTATCTAGACGAGCGCGACGGACGAATGCAATTTACAAAGTGTTTATTTCGATCGTCAGAAATAGCTTATTCTCTAGATCTTCTGTAAGCACAATTTAGAGTAAGGTATGTAGAAGGTAACTCCACAAATACTTAGGATATTATAATGTTGATGTCCAGGTATTTAACGGCCTTAATAATACTGGAAATGTTAGTTTTTTTCTCTTTAACTTTTATTAAAGGACTCAAGATGCCATCACATTGCGTCCGTTGTCGTCCGTCGTCGTCCGTCCGATGTAAACTATTTAAACTTCTTCTCCTCTGAAACTACTGAACCAATTCCAACCAAACTTAAGCTGAATGAATCTTAGGGTATCTAGAATAAGGTAAGTTTTATTTTCTGTTTCGTCAAAAAAGCATGGCCGTCATGGCTAAAAAAAAGAACATTGGGATAAAATGCAGTTCTTGGCTTATATATCAAAAACTAAAGCATTTTGAGGAAATCTGACATGTGGTAAATAAAGGCAACAGTAGTATACCGCTGTTCGAAACTTATAAATCGATAGAGATAAAAACAAATCCGGGTTACAAACTGAATATGGTAAAAATGTTCATTAGGTCAAGTTCTACTAGCCCTGAAATTTTTTGATGAATCTAACAATCCATTGTTGGGCTGCTGCCACTAAATTGGTAATTTTAAGGAAATTTTGCAGTTGTTGGTTATCATCTTGAATATTATTATAGATAAAGATAAACTGTAACAGCAAAAATGTGCAGCAAAAAAAGATCTACAAATAAGTTAATATGACCAAAATTGTCAATTGACCCCTTCAGGAGTTGTTGCCCTTTAAGGACAATTTTACACAATTTGTTTATCATGTTTTCTAACTTTAAAAAATCTTCTCCTTTGAAACTACTGAACCAAATTAAACCAAGCTTTAGCTGAATGGTTATTAGGATATCTAGAATAAAGTTTGTGTTTTATGTTCTGTTTCCTCAGAAAACATGGCCGCCATGGCTAAAAATAGAACATAGGGTAAAATGCAGTTTTTGACTTATATCTCAAAACCAAAAGCATTTCGAGCAAATCAGACAAAAAGTTAAAGTATGTATTAGGTCAAAGTCTACCCGTCCTGAAATTATCAGCCAAATCGGGTATCAGATTTTTAGGTTATTGCCCCTGAATTGATGATCTAATGGACATTTTGCAGTTTTCGGTTATTATCTTGAATATTATTATAGATACAGATAAACTGTAAACAGCAAAAATGTTCAGAAAAGTATGATCTAAAAATAAGTTTATATGACCAAAATTGTAAATTGACCCCTTAAGGAGTTATTTCCCTATAAATAGATATTTGAAGATGTGGTATGAGTGCGCCTTCAACACGGAGCCTTGGCTCACACCGAACAGCAAGCTATAAAGGGCCCCAAAAATTACTAGTGTAAAACCATTCAAACAGGAAAACCAACGGTCCAATCTATATAAAAAACGAGAAACGAGAAACACTTATGAACCACATCAACAAACGACAACCACTGAACATCAGGTTCCTGACTTAGGACAGGTGCAAACAAATTCAGCGGGTTTAAACGTTTTAATAGGCGCCAACATTCACCCTACCTGAAACAATAGTAACATCGAAAAAATAGTAACATCACAACATAGAAAGACACACTATAAAATATCAATTGAAATGGCTTAACTCAATCAAAATAAATATTAACAAAAACAAGTGAACATACACTGAACCAATAGATTTGATCTATGACACATTGTAAATACAAAATTAATAAAACAAGGGGGTTAGATGTAAAACAATATCAAAATGACAATCATAACCTTGGACAAAATGCGGCATAATAAAATAACGTACACAGATAAAAACAAAAAATTTTGTTGTAAGGTATACATGGAGTACGGAAATAATTTTGTTGTTCCTAGTACGAGAACAAAAGTGAAAATTTATCGTCATACTAAACACTTATCAAAGGTGATATACATTTAAAATAGTGAGAATAGATATTACACTGAATAAGTCAACATTAAATAACAGAATACATTACAAATTGTATCAAAAGGTCAAATTAACATTTTTTCACAATTTGTTCATCTAGTTTGCTCATTTTAAAAAATCTTCTCCTTTGAAACTGCTGAATCAATTTCCGCCAAACTTGGGCTGAATGAGTTTCAGAGTGTCTAGTATAAATTTTATATTGTATTTCCTTGTACGTCACGAAACATTGCCACTATGGCTAAAATGAAACATAGGGGTAAAATGTCTTTTTTTGCTTTTGAAGAAAATATGACAGATACAAAAACATTTAAATGGCATTTTTAAGCCACTCATTAATATATATTGAAAAAGCAAAAATAATCATTGATGAAAGATTTAAGCAAAAAATTACAGGTGAGCGATTCAGGCTCTTGAGAGCCTCTTGTTACGTATAAAAGGCATTTTCGTTGTAATGGTTTTAGCTAAAAACATTAAAAATGAACAAATTTACCATAAGCATTTTCAATTCTTATATATACTTAGCAGTATAATTACAGCTTTTTCTTTCGGTGTTCTCTTTTTGATATTATTGATCATCTATCACGACACCATTTAAGTTTAACCTGGTAAAATTTTATAGGCTGTTCAATTCAATGTTTTGTTTATTTGATATATATATGTTGTATAACTAACATTAAGTTGACATGATAGTAGCATTATTCTGCGGCTTATCACGTTAATTCTTTCATACTCATGTACTATATGGATAATTATTAATGAATATAAATCTCCTAGGGTAGGTTGGGAGAGAGACTTGTTTAAATAGTACTGAGAACCTATGCAGCACTGATTGGTAGATAATGTATCTAATAAATATTTTTTTTATCATACGACTCAATACTAGGGTAAAGTAATAAAACAGAATGCACTTCAAATGTTTATCCGGATTTGAAAATTAACATGATCAAAATGACTATTGTAGTTGTTAATATCGAATCAGTAGTGTCTATGAACAAGGTAGTGAGTACGGCCCGCGTGGTGTCTTATGAATGTATATTCTGAAAGTTGTATAAGAACGATCTGATTTGTATTTTGATAAACGATATAGTAAAGCTTCTATAAGTAAAACAGACATACATTTTATTAAAGAAATGCATTTACATTGAAATCAATTTTGTGTTTGCTAAAAGAGGGACGAAAGATACCAGAGGGACAGTCAAACTCATAGATCGAAAACAAACTGACAACGCCATGGTCAAAAATAAAAAGACAAACAGACAAATAATAGTACAGATGACACAACATAGAAAACTAAAGACTAAGCAACACGAACCCCACCAAAAACTGGGGGTGATCTCAGGTGCTCCGGAAGGATAAGCGGATCCTGCTCCACATGTGGCACCCGTCGTGTTGCTTATGTTATTACAAATCCGGTAAATAGTCTAATTCGGTAAGTCACATTCGTGAAAAGAGGGGTATTGTAGTTACGACATAAGGAACATATCCGATATCATCTGTGAAACGGTTATTCCATAACGGTCAACCAACTCGTGATGGCGTCCGTAAAATTTACGAAGGGATGATTTCAACTTCACCATTTGGAATTCTTGGTTTCCTTGTGAGCAGCAATCCTCTATCAAGGAAATCATGATAGGAAACACAAGCCCGGGAATATCGTATCAATTGGGAGATATATACTCCTTATGCAGGCGCTGCTGGAATGTTGCTACATAGAAATGGAAAGTTCACAATTGGGAAGCTGAAATCATATCTTTTGTTGTAAAGTTTTGTTTTCAACCGACCCTCATTGTCAACTTCTAGATGTAAGTCAAGATATGAGGCAGAATTAACTGTATCTGTAGTATCCTTTATCTCTAGTTCGATGGGATAGATTCGTTCAACATAGTCACCAAATTTTGTATTATTTAGTGAGAGAACATCATCTATATAGCGGAACGTAGAGTTAAAGGATATTGCTAACTTCTTATCTTTCTTCCTAAGAAGTTCCTGTATGAAGCCAGCCTCATAATAATAAAGAAACAAGTCGGCAAGAAGAGGGGCACAATTAGTTCCCATTGGAATTCCGACAGTCTGTTGAAAAACACGTCCTCCAAACGTAACAAATATGTTGTCAATCAAGAAATCAAGCATCTTGATAATGTCAGTTTCAGAGAATTTTTTGTTTGAATCATAGTGATTCTTTACAAAGTAGTATTTATCCCTCCCCAAGACAAGATACTTGTATCTACGTTCGCCATTCTTTTTAATGAAACAAAGTAATACCAACTCTTTCAATTTTTCTTTTAGTTTGGAATGGGGAATACTTGTGTAAAGTGTAGAAAAGTCAAATGTTTTGATACTCTTGCAAGATGAGAGAGTCTTAGATTGTATGTACTCTAAAAGATCTTTGGAATTTTTTAGTATCCACATCTGATTCACGCCACCTCTAGAATAGGCAGTTTCACGATAACTTTGGAGCCCGGCTTTGATTGCTGATAAAAAAGATGTTAATAATTTAGAAAGAGGTTTCGTGGAGCACTTGGAAGACCCAGCAATATACTGTTGTTTGTAAGGACACTTATGTAGTTTAGGTATCCAATACAGTGATGGAAGATCCAGTTCTTCATCCTTGGTTGAAATTCCAAAGGAACATAGAACAGACCTATGATTATCCATGATTTTCTCTTTGGTAAGTGTCGTGAGGGTATATGTTGAGTTTCCAGGTGAATTGTCAATACCTAATTCATTTATCAAGCAGTTTATGTAATGATATTTACACACAAAAACGATGTTGTTTGGGGCTTTATCTGCGGGGACAACAACATATTTGTCATGGAGGTAGGTCAAGTGTTTTGCAACATTTGGGTCTTTAAAAATTGATGTAGCGTGGGTATTGATATGCCCATTTAGTTTCTTAATTCGGATTTGTATCAACGACCTCACAGCCTTAATCCATTCGGAAAGAGTATCTACGTCTTCTTTCTCGCGTTTAGCCCATTGCCTAGCATAATCCTTGACTGAATCCATCAGTATTTTGAAGTTGTATTTCCAATTGATGAATTTAGGCTCACGCAATTTCGGACCTTTGGATAACAAATTTCGCAGGAAAGTGTTATTGACAATGTTGAGGTCTCCGGTAATAACGTGGCCAGCCGGATTATATGTGAATTGGGAACTAGCACAGGTGCAATCAGGAGGTTTAGACTTGAAGTCGTCAATGTTGAGATCCTGCAAAACGTGTTTGTAATTGAAAATTTTAGTTGCAATTGGTTTGGTATAGGAATAAGAAATTATTGGTACAGACTGTTCTTTAAAATAAGGATGTATTTTCGACTGAACTAAATTATGATGAAGGATATTGCCTAAGTTGACGCCATCGAGACCTTTGTTGGCAAAGGAAAGTTTAAGAAAAGATCTTTTCTCTTTTTCATCTTTTCCAATGCGAACTGGTTTGAAAAGTCTGTGACTTGCAATATCCGAAATGATAGCTGTAAGTTTGTATTGGTTTGAATTAGGGTTTGTAACAGTGGTTTCCAAACATAAATTGAACAGAGAATGAAGTTTTGAAAGGGGTAATGAATACAGTTTCGTGCGAATGTGATGTATACCTAATGGCTTTTGTATAAATGGCAGCAAGTCATTAATAGAGACATCATGCAAAGTAGGTGATGTATAATGACGATGACCATGACTGCGTCTACGTCGAGGAGTAGAGTTGAAAATATTCATCACATTCACCGAGCAACAGGAAAGACTAGATAGAATACCTATACCATCATTTTTTTCATTGCAACCATATGGTGTTGCAGTTCCCAATTGCCGAATCCAGTAGTCCTCTTTTTGTCTACGAAGAGGCGTTTAAAGTTGAGGATTGTTAGTCTTGTGGTATATTTTTTCGATTATACGAACTGTCATAGAAACGATGGAATGATCAGGTTAATTAAAATGCTGGTACAGAATGTCGTTTGCATTGAGGTTGATATCTGATCTATGGCCGCACATACGTTTGTTTAGCCTTCCTTTCGTTTCACCGACGGAAACCAATCCGCAAAGGTTACACTCTAATCCGTAGACGACATTTATAGATTTACAATTCAGATCATCGTAACTTCTAGTAAAGTAAGACTTTTTAGTTAAATTGCTAGTGAATTGAGCGTCTGTTATTAAAATTTCACAAGTTTTGCAGCCATTAGTTCCACATTTCGAAATGAGACAGTGTTGTTCAGAGTCATCAAAATCCAAAATGTTTTTAAGGAGAACTGAACATGGCTGTGTATGTGTAATATTGCTATTGTAACTAGTATGATGATCTGAATGAGTCATGTTTGGGATATTTGTCATGTCTCGTGATGAGGGGACAACTGCCTTATCAGACGACACCGTTTACCTGGTGACGTCTGTTTCGGACCTTTTTATACTGGGCAACTAAAATTCACCCCCTATACATATAAAAAAAAAAGTAAGATCACAAAAATACTGAAAACCGAGGAAAATTCAAAACGGAAAGTCCCTAATCAAATGGCAAAATGAAAAGCTCAAACACATCAAACGAATGGATAACAACTGTCATATTCCTAATGCAGGCTATTTCTTTATGTGTGATCCACTGTCTTTTTTACTTGATTTAGACGTACTATGATGATTGTTGTCATCAGACGAATTAACAATAGCAACTGTACAGCGACTTGGATAATGTTGTTTGTTTATACAGTCGAGCGTTTGGTTTTGTCAGTTTTGTAGAATTCTCTCTTTTTTAATTTATCTTGGAATGTGGTACTCCTGTTGTCAATTCATTTACACAAAACATGTAGCTAGGTTATTGGCAGTGAGCTTTTCCATTTATATCCAACTTGTGAAATGTTTTGTTGTTTTTTTATTTTATTGTTTTCGTTTTAATGTCACGAAATATAACGTTCAAGATTTGACTTTTCTTAATCAAACATTAATACAATCAATACATTTTAACTTTGAAAATAGAGCGGTATAATTATATAGCAATAAAAAAATTTAGAACGGCAAAACTGTAACATCAAGTTGGATGGTTATGAACTGAAAAATTAATATATTTATACATCTGCAACTAAGGCACAATTGATTCCTTAAGTTGAAATAATTAATTTTAGATGTATAATAGCTTATAATTGCCTTATTCTTGGTTATAGATTATATTTAACAGCTATGATTGAATATACCATCTGACAAGAATCAACCTGTAACAGATGAATAACATTTTAAGTTTTATTCAATATTTATTAATTTGTTGGATGTCCAAATATAGATGTAAACCATGTAGATACAATCATTTCCAAAGATTAAAGAAAAGAACAGACAAAATAATATCTCTATGGAATTCTCTTGATGTATTGTCAAAACGTAAAATGGGCAGGCGTTTTACCAGAAATGGTTGAGCTAGAGAATTTGTAAGAAGAAGGGGATTTTATACATTCTCAAATATATAATTCACAATTATTCTTTAGATCACAATATATGTATTGCAGTTTGAATAATCTATTAAAATTAGAGATCTCATACATTTGGACGTAACTTTATCAGTGTTTAGAGGTAGGGGCACGGTTGTTTTTTTGTTTTGTTTTGTTTTTTTTTTGTTATGTTAGTGTATATGGATATCTAATTAGTTATAAAATATGATTTGAATGAAGTTTCGTTAAAGTATGGAGGCACTCATTTGATAAAAGTTTAATGTTCATTTTCTAGTACTGCATGGGTGGTAGCTTGGGGCTACTACTACCAGCTTGATTGTCAGTGCATCTGTAATGACATTATTCATAACAAACTTTTCTTAACTGTTGTCGATAAATTTCTAAATTATTTTGAAACTTAGGTTCCAATTCCCAAAGGTGAAGCTGATCTTAGAAGGGTCTAATTATTCTTTTAATTTCTTCCCACTTTGATTATAAAGCTCCCAATATTTTCACGTTTCTATAAATTTTTTAATTTCAATGTTTTGGTATGAGTTCTTTTGATGAAGGTCAAATTTGAAAATGCATCTTTCGGACACACTACATTTATTAAAAGTTTTTTTTTTTTAATAGTCCTACCGTACAAAATACTTGTTTTCAAATCAAAAATCACCTACATGTACATATATACAAATTATTCAATACTACAATATTGTACAATTGACGTATATGTATATTTGAATTTATTAAAAAAATATTCTCTTGTAATAAGTTTTTGTAATATTTTCAATCTTTTTATTGTGAGTTTACATTCACTAACATATTTCAAATCATAAAAAATCACATTTAATTTTTTGATGCGAATCACAAATTTTTTAATGGTCTTTGATTTAACGATTTCTTCAACAATAATACAATTTAAGTTTAAATGACCTTACGGAATGTTGATCACGAGAATTAACAGTATTTTCCAGGTTTGAATTAAGTATGTCATCTACGAAAACAGAAAACATAACTAGTTGCATATCAGTTATCTGCTCTAATGCTGTCCATTTTCTTCTACTTTGACGGATTTGTAGACAAATATCTTTATGAGAATAAACATAGATTTCGTTCTGATAGTCATGTTCTTCCGAATGGCGTGGATGAGAGCAGCTGTATATCACCGTACGGCCTTCAATAATGCCCAAATCCCATATCGTATTGCAAGCTGTAAAAGCCTGCGACATGCCATATTGTGAAACATGCTTGTTTTCTACATCCTCAATTTTTTTAAATAAAAGAATAAGCTGTTCAACAGGAACTAACTTATAAATATAATCAACGGTTTTAGAAGTTTATTGTGTGCATTAAATATAGTGTATGGGATCATCATTTAGTTATTAATAAATACCTTATTGGTAATGTGACGGAAAATTATAATGTAGAATTAACTCCAGAAGATGCAAAGAAAATGTAATCCGAAAAGATAATTAGGATAAATGAATATACTCAAGATAACTGAAATCCTTTTAAATAAATGATTTGGAAAACACCTCAATGATTCATTAAGAACGTAAGATCCTCTTTTAGAAATCAACCAATAAATAAAGTCCGTAACAGACAGGTGAGTTTATATATAAAACCCGGATCTTATTTAATGGGCACTTTAACGAAACGCAAAGTGTTCTGTGCCCATTAATATAAATTTATGCAATATTTGTTTACTGATGTTAAAATCTAGTTCAAAAATCAGAAAGTACAAATGCAGGTAACAAATAAAAAAATGAAGGAATGATAATCCAGGGAACTAACATATGTTTAACCATCAATCAATTTTTCCGGATTTGAAAATTGCAGTTTATCCCAAATTATAAATTAAAGTACAGATGCTTTCTTATAAAGAAACCAATCAGGGTTTCTGTGGTATCTGATAATCCGAGGTCAAGGCCATTTCGCAATAATAACAACTCGCATTCTGATATCAGTTACAGATATATGTATTATGTTACCATGGAAATCGCAATAATTAATCTGTTAGTTTGTTTTGTTATGTTAAAATTGCTATAAAAAAAGTTCACAATAATTTGCATGAAAATACGAATATTGTTTTGATTGAAATTTGCTGTTATAAGATTTTAGAAATCATTTCAAATTAAGAAATATATCTCTCTCATGCAAAACTCTGATTACTTATAAAAATAAGGAGATGTAGTATGATTGCCAATGAGACAACAGTCCACCAAAGTTCAAATGAAGTGGATGTAAGCTGCCTTCAAAAATGAGAAAACTCATACCGTATAGTCAAGAATTGAGAAAATAACGGCTTATTTCAAAACAAAACCTTGTCCAGTTTTGGTTATACTTTATGTCGTTTTTGGTTGAGCAGATCAACGTTTGTATTAGGTTTTGAATTTTCAAATATTTTGACCTCGACCATCATTGAAGGATGAATGCATATTTAGTGCATAACAATTGGTACGATTTATTTTTTTAAACACATATCATTTTCTTGAGTATACATGTTTTTTTAAAGCGCAAACAGTGTAAATAAACATTTGAATCACTTAGTACGTTAGTAACATGATGATGCTGTACTCGACTTGAACTCTTATTTTTTAGGTTTAGCTTATATCTCAATTCACTGGCAAAGGTCAATATTTTAAAACTAGTAGTGTACACGTAAACTGCTACGTCATGAAAGTACACACAACATTAGATTAAAACCTGCAGCACACATATGTTGTTTAAAATAATGAAGATAATCAAGACAAATAAATTGATGATGAGTTCAACTATGACAAATGTATAACAATACCATATCAATGAAATATATTGTGAATTATTAAAGGTCATAAAACTATATACTTCACGAGCAATTATGATCTGTATTCTTGTTAAACAGTTCACCGAATGATAAATATGGAACAATGAACAAAATATCTCTCATTTTCGGCTATAGGTGTTATGTGAACCATGCTGGTAAAAAGTACCGATTCTTTCAAGAGATTTTATTTACAGAAGTTAATACATTCACTTATGACTGTAAAGTTTCTGTTTTAAGCTTACATGAATTCATCCATCTGTATCAATGCCTTTTTATTTAAACAAGTGTACAATTAGTTATACACTTATTGAATGCAAATTTACTAAGAAAAACAAATCGGAGAACAGTATATACTTACCATCAATTAAACAATTAAACTGCACTTAGAAAGTATGTTTATAAAGATATGGAATGTTTTTAACCTTTTATCAAATTTTGTCAGCAAAAAGCTTTAAACGTTAAGCCGAAGATCTCGCATCTTGTAGCAATATTGTCTTACCAACTGACTAATATTGTTTCAACCTTATTCAATACGTCTTCACGTACTCGGACATAAAATTTTTACACATCTAACATTTGACAAAATCGCAGGTAACGTTTGTGAATATGCCTAATAGATTGCATGAATCAAAACGACAAAGCCAAAACGTTTCCAACATTTAGCGTACACAAAAAAATGAAACATGGGCACTAGAAGATTTCTGGATTAAAACATATTCCGATTATGTGTTTGTCTCTCTAGAAATTTGGCCTACGTTACGAATAAAGAAAACTTCATTTAGAAAACGCGTTTCATGCTGACTATTACGATGTATAGAGGAAGTTTATCTTACCACAATCGCCGTAGTTAAATGTTCATTATAAGATAATACACAATCACGTATCGTGCTGATATCATCTAGATATTCATAGTAATTATCTACTCAAAACAACCGTTACAGATGTATCCCATTATAATACAAAATAACCTGAATACCAGCCAAAGACGGGAAAATATCACCTATTCATTTTGTCGACACTGGTTATACTTTACGGTTCTCATTATATTGATGAAGGTTGAAAATATTGAACATGAACTGAAGGGAAATGCATTATATTATTAACCGAGGCTACTAATTAGATTTGTCAATGCTAGTCACAACTTCATTTTTATTATCATACTGACTGTCAAATGTTAATCAATACAATCATCTTACAACATCTATAATTTGAACTACAGCATAAAACTAAAGACAAAATCTTAGAATTATACAAACTTTAATTCGGATGTTCTGTAATATTTTGAGGATGTTGACAGATATAGCGTTTAGCTCCGCCTCCTCGCGTGGATATCTAATGAATGAACGGTTCAAGTGCTACTATTGACAACAGTTGTAGTAACTGTTTATCGTATCATTCTTTCGGATCTGATCTTTTGAATGAAAGAAATATAAGAGACAACAGTAATACAAATGTTAGATTCTCTTAAATCTTTTTTCAATATAAATATTTTAAGTGAAAAAAAACTTAGAAGTTGTATAAACTATAAAAGAATGATTAAGATATATGAGAGAGTGACCAATAACAGTAAACTGTAGTCATCGACAGAATCAGCGTGTCCTGTTTTGTACATAATTATTATTTAATTTAATTTGCGAAGCCAGAATCGGTCCAAATGTTATGGTAGTGAAAAGGTCATATACCATTAATATACGTCAAAGAACGTCTCGTTCTTTTTCTAAAAAAGTTCATCGGAAGGTACCACGACCTTGTTGATAATATTCCGTATCAATTCACAAATAATACACGATGGTCTTGAAGTGAGATTCTGCGTACTGATGTTGTTTATCATCTTAATAACGTGTTATAGCATTCTTTTATTTGTCTTTATTAATATAACTTTTACTGTTAAGTCTGTTTTTTGTGATATCTATTTGACGTGGCACTGTACTTATGTATCCCGTCATACTTTGAACTACAAAATCATTTTATTTTATTAATATTACTTTTACTGTTAAGTCTGTTTTTTGTGATATCCATTTGACGTGACTCTGTACTTATCTATCCCGTCATACTTTGAACGACAAAATTATTTTACATCTACCTGCGTGACGTCAAACGCGCGATTCTACGCCAGTACTTAAAACCTTCCATCCTTTATGGGTAGATTTTACATAGATCAATGAAATAGTATAATAAAAAAAGCAAAATGAGGATGTTAAATTTGATGTATGCCTTATTGAGCTTCTTTGTTAAATTTGTTTGTTTTTATAGTGATTAAGATGATAACACAATGTTGACTGCTGTACCCCTATTTTTGGCATTTTTACCTATTGTGTCTGTTTGTTTTGTTCACGCATTGTTGTCAATACAATGGAATTTGATGCAACTGTCATACAAGTGAGAGGTTTAGCTAGCTATAAAACCAGGTTCAATTTACCATTTTCTACATGAGAAAATGCCTGTACCAAGTCAGGAATATGACAGTTGTTATCCATTCGTTTGTTGTGTTTGAGCTTTTGATTTTTCCATTTGATTAGGAACTTTCCTTTTTGAATTTTCCTCGGAGTTCAGTATTTTTGTGATTTTACTTTATACTACGGAAGCGTATTAGGGCCATCCTTTTTTATTTATTTTTTCAAATTGTCGATTTTAATCTTGGAATAATTAACTTTAATCTTGGAATTTCCAACTTTAATCTTGGAATGATCAACTTTAATCTTGGAATTATCAACTTTAATCTTGGAATGATCAACTTTAATCTTGGAATTATCAACTTTAATCTTGGAATTTCCACCTTTAATCTTGGAATTATCAAATTTAGTCTTGGAATTATCAACTTTAATCTTGGAATTTTCCAACTTTAATCTTGGAATTATCAATTTTAATCTTGGAAATATCAACTTTAATCTTGGGATTTCCAACTTTAATCTTGGAATTATTAACTTTAATCTTGGAATTATCAACATTAATGTTGGAAATTCTAACTTTAATCTTGGAATTATCAACTTTAATAATGGAAATGGCTGATATTTTACTTCTAGCCCCTAGTTTATTGTGTTTCTCCGTACACTTAATCTACTTATAATTATTTTCGTTGCTAATTTTTTTGTAAAATGTTAAAGAAAAATAGACGTGTATCTAAAGTATTGTATAGCTTCATGTAGCCTAATATCCATGAAAAGGGGGTGTGGTGTAACTTCCTATCAATGGGTATACGTTGATATGTCTAAAATATGGATCATAATTTTGCGAGATTTTATATATATGACACTACTTTTTAATGACATTCTATATTGACATGCGTTGTTCTTTCATGACTTTATATTGATTTGGGGTATGTTCTACATATGTTATATAAATATGTTATTGGAAATCTTATAGTAATGGCCAATTGTGGTTTTTTAATCAATCAGGGACTTTATATTTGCATAAATATAAAGTCATTGAATCTAATCATTTTGAAATTAGACTATTATATATAAGTAAAGGTCATTCTTTGTATATATTCACATATAAATATGTTACACTATTGTTTCAGATAAGAGTGAAGGTTTGGTACCATTAAAACGTTTAAACCCGCTGCAATTGTTTGCACCTGTCCATAAGTCAGGAATCTGATGGTCAGTAGTAGTCGTTTGTTGATGTGGTTCATAAGTGTTTCTCGTTTTTCGTTTTTTTATATAGATTAGACCGTTGGTTTTCCCGTTTGAATGGTTTTACACTAGTAATTTTTGGGGCCCTTTATAGCTTGCTGTTCGGTGTGAGCCAAGGCTCCGTGTTGAAGACCGTACTTTGACCTATAAGGGTTTACTTTCATAAATTTTGACTTGGATGGAGAGTTGTCTCATTGGCACTCATACCACATCTTCTTATATCTAGGTTCCAAATATTAGTAAATGTTATAAAAAAACGGGTACATATTTTAAGCAAAAATGGCACACCCCTACTAACTAATTTCGAAGTTACCCCCCCCCCCCCCGCCCTCCCCCCCCCCCCCTTCCCCTCGTGCTTATTATTTGTAATTATGTATACAGTACATGCATTTATTATATTATTTTGCGGATATGTATCGATGTTTACAATAGCAATCATCAACAAAGAGTAAAGTAAAGCAAATCAAAGAGAATTGCACTGTTTGGCAGAAGCGACAGTCAATTTTCTTAACTCAGAGATTCACTCGATTAATGAAAGTCGGAAAAAATCAGTGACGGACTAATGAGGGTACTAAAAGTTGGAATTTCCAAGTTTAATGTTGATAATTCCAAGATTAAAGTTGGAAATTCTAAGATTAAAGTTGATAAATTCAACATTTAAGTCGACAATTTGAAAAAAAAAATATAAAAGGATGGCCCTAATACGCTTCCGTAATATACAGATCAGACGAATATTCTGTATGGTTAGAATAAGAGCAAAGAGTTGTTGGCTAGACGTCAGAACATATCATTCAAAAAGATAAACATGTCTTCTAGGACAGGAGGGGATGAAGATACAAGGGAACCAATAAACATGAATAGAAGTCCGACAATACAAATGAAAACAGCGAAGCAGCAGCCCAGTTATATTTTATTTTTTATGTGAATAATGGTTAATCATTATCTTCATTTGACGGTAGATTAAAGTTAGGAGTTACTAGTATTTCCAGAACAATTAAGTTCAACACGTCCTCTTCTCTTTGTTTAAGTAAAGTTCTCGCAGTCGTGTTTTTTAAAGGGTTGGTTGGATTACTATCTTTTTTGGTTTTGTATCATTATGATTTCTGTCTGTCAATCTCTATCATTCTGTTTTCCTTCTTTCATTCTTTCTTCACATTCTTTGGTTATTTTAAAGATAAAAAGATGTGGTATGAATGTCAATGAGACAAATATCCACCAAAGTTCGAATGAAATAGATGTAAGCAATTATAGGCAACAGTACGACCTTCAGCAATGAAAAAATCCATACCGTATAGTCGGCTATAAAAGGCCCCGACATGAAAAATTTATCACAATTCAATTGAGAAACCGTACTGCCTAATTTAAAACAAAACAATTTACGAAAAACAAAAAATATGACAGACATAAACCAACGACAACCACTACACTACAGGTTCCTGACTTGGGACAGACACATAAAGAAAGTGACGGGGTTAACAGTTTTGTAAGCGTTCAACCGTCCCCTAACCTGGGACAGTGGTTTTACAACACAACATAAGAACAAACTTTAAGTTATGCAGGTTTATATGATGATAGTATGTGTATAACCTGTTTGATAAAGGTTAGAAGAATTTTTTCAATCGTTGTTTTTTTTTTTCTTCAGCAGTTTTCAAATTAAGAAGAAACAATTCAATTCTAGTAATATTTTCATTCGGGAAACATCTAGTTCATAAAGAGGATGCATTTTTAGGAAAAGATTACAAATTACAAAACATTGCAATTTGATAAGGGAATTTCCGATTTAAATTTTCCTTGGAGTTTGGTATTTTTGCTATTTTAATTTTAATTTTTTTGAAATATGGAAGTGTTCGTCATTTGTAACATTAATGAAATCAACACTGAATTAATTTAGTGCGTCCGAAGCGTTTTTCAAAATCTACCGTAGTAAGAAACGGTCTTAAACAAACATCTGTAAGCCAAGCTTATATAAGACCTAAACACATTAAAAGCTATGTCACCAACATGTTTGCAAATATTAAGATATTTTTTTTCTGACAGTAGTTCTAATATTGAAAGTTTCCAGACGACATTAAAAACATTTTAAATTGAGATGTTGCCAAATTTGATGTATTCTTTATTTATCTTTATATAACGGTTTAGTAGCTATTAATCCAGGTTTGACCCACCATTTTCCTTGTACTAAAACGGGGATATGACAGTTGTTTTACCAGTCGTTCCGTTAGTGATATATACGATCAGTTTTTATGGACTTTCCCCGTTTTGAATTCACACTTGACTTCGATTTTTTAACCTTACTATTTTGTTCTCTATGAGAAAGCGTGGTTTATTATTGCACCGAAGTCTTATAAATAATTTCGAATACACGGATATCCTTTTGTAACTGATCAACATATTTTATTCAGTCAGCAAGTCGGATATTACAAAATGAGATAACCATCCAATAAGCACTTGAGTTCACCGTAAGATTTTGGCATAGTTTATGTCGCTTAATATGTACTTTAATGTGTGGTGTTAAATCATGTTTGATTGTTTGTCCCTTGAAATAGTGTACTTTGTTCTGCCATTCATGAACTTTGATTGACCTCTTGATATCTATTTCTTTCCCATTTTTATAAGAATTTAAGCTGACATTAATTTTTAAATTCATTTCATCATTATTGTAATAAGTGTAACATGTGTAAAGCAGGAAGCGCTTATTACATATCTCTTATTTTTCTTCATTTTCGATTCATTGTGGTTATCTGTTTTTAATTTATTCTGAGCAACGTCAGAACTATAACGTTCCCACGAAATTTATTTCTTACATAACGATCTGTTATATTTGCCAAAACTAATCAAAGATATCAGGCTAATAGTTTGATCGCCAGATGCACGTTTTGTATAAACCAAACACATCAGTGGCGCTCGAATCAGTTTGAAGATAAAAAGAAATACGAAGCTGAAGAGCTTCCAAAACGAACAAGAAACAGCCTTATCAAAAATCATTTTGACAACATGTTACACTAATAAACATAATTAAACTGATTATATTTAACATTTTTACAAAACTATATCTTCATTCAGTTTAACCGAAGTATGACCTTTTAAATAATTGTTCTATAATTTGCTAAATTTGCCTAAATAAGTTCCGTTCATGCGGGATCTTTGGCATTGCATTATATTATCCACCATGTCGGTCCTGGGCATTGATATTGTTTCAATTTTCCTCTTTTTATTGGGCATTTCCAGTTGTTTTTGTATTAATGTTGATTGCAGAACTGTATTAGATAAGCTTCCGAAGGATAATAGAAGAATAAAAAAAGGACACAGACAAGGAAACAATGGTATGTATTGGTTAATATGAATTTGGAAATTAATTCGATAACTTATTATAACGCTTTTACATGACCAACCAAAATTCGAGATTAAGTATTTCGATTTAAAAAACAACGGCATGCATATTATATTGTAAATATCAGAACGCGAGTTCTTATTATTGCGATATTGACCCAATCGCGGTATTCGCATCAATAAAAACCTCGCAATAATTTCTGAATTTATAGTAGGCTAATTATGAGATAATAACATCGTCACCAATACGAGATTTGTTCTAAGAGTATTAGATTAACTCAGCCATCAGCCAAAATTATTGATAATTATAGTATTCTTTGAAAGAATTATTATTATATATATATATATGTATATCCGACGAGGAAAGGCATTACTCGACTAATGTTCTAGAGTCTATTTGATCGAGTGGTTTCGTGCAGGCGGTTTTGCTAATAAAGGATCAGAAAGATTAAATAAAGTGCAGGCGGTGTTGTCACGATGTCACAGACGAAGAGTTCAAATCTCGCTGTTGGGCTAAATTTGAGACGAATGATATCTAGTGTCTAAAAGTAGCAACAATCAACATTCAATCTATCTAAGCGTGGATCAGTTTGAAAATAAACTGATGCAGTTACTAAAACAAGTTGTTATATTTCATATATTCACGTAAAATTTCGCTCAATAAATGTGCTTTATCAGACAGGTGAAGTCATTTAGGTAACATCGGATGCTTTTAAGAAATGTCTGCTGCTGATAGTACATTATCCTTACAAATATGTTTGCAGCTTTATTGTACATTGGGTTTAAATGATCAAAACAAAAACATGTGTTAGTTAAATAGTATGAAGATCAAGGTTTATTTCTTTGATTTTTAATAACACTGGTAAATTGTATTTTAGTCGGGCATGATATATACAAATTAACATAGTAAACAATAACTCTTTAGAACTCTTAACCGAATTGATATTTAAAATTTATAAGCACATTTGATAGAATACACAACACACATATAAATAAAACACATGCATTATATAATCACTACAAACAGTAAAAGTCTGAAATGGCCTATATCTGTACTCGACTGTACTGATTTTTACTCGACCAGTCTGAATTGGTCTGAATTTTATTCGACATTACTCGACCCCTGTCTTAACCATACTCGGCCGTACTGATTTGTACTTGACCCTTATCTTTGCCATTGAAAATAGTCTGAACTATTACTCGACCAGTCTGAAACAGTCTTAACCCATTCTCGACCTGTACTCTACCAATTTTTTCAGTCTAAACCATACTCGACCAAAGGTCTGAACAATACTCGACCAGTCTGAACCATACTTGACCAAAAAACCTATACTTTTTTTTAATTTCAGCTGTTAAAATTAATTTCTTTTTTTCTGACATGACAACAGCCACAATAAAATAAAGATATATATATAAAAACATTATGTTACATCCTTACATGATTCTCAGATTTATCAAATAGAGATATTTAAATTAAATTATCTTATATAATAATTTAATTATATTAATTTTAAAGTTTTAGAGTTTTGTTAAAAAAAATATTTTCTTTTAATAAAAACCACACCTTTACTGAGGGTAATAAAACCTTATTAAGGTGCTTCTTGTTTGGCATTTGTTTTTTTTTTTTGTTTTTTTTAAACTTAATTTTCCTAAATTCCTAAAGAAAAACTATATAGGTTTCATGGTTACATACAATAGTTATATAATTATCTTTTTAATGAGGTAACAACAACCAAAAAATCATTAAAATTGTTTAACCTTATATTAGAAATATATCTATTCTTATTACAATTTGGGATATATTATATATAATATATATCAAAAAGGGATAAAACATTAAAGAAATAGGTAAAATGTTTTTTCTGATAAAGTGGTAAAGTATAAAGTAATACCTCCTGCTTAGGGCAAACTCATTAAAAAGATCAAACCTGGTCAGATAGTATTCATTTCTAATTAACATTCATTAAAAATTGCAACATCCTGTATATAAAACTTAAATTGCAAGGCCTTTTGAATTCACTAGTTAAGTAATACACGAGTTTAAGAAAAAAGGGCTTTCTTTTTACCTGTAAAACACACATGTACTGAGATAAATAAACCTTATTAAAGAGTTTCTTGTATGCCATGTCTTTAATCTTGACAAAAGCTATTTAAATTTAATTGAAATATTTTTTTTCTGCAACTTTGGAACACATTTCCTTTTTTAAATTTTTTAATCAAGGATTGCTATGGAAGTTCTATTATCATGATTATATTAAATTCTTGGTTTTACAAAACAAAGGTGTGATTTTTTAAATTTATTAAGTTGCTTTATATACTATTTTAAATATATTTTAATAAAAAAAATGTTCACTGCATTATTAACTAAACTCAACTGACACCACAAATCTATACAAGGCTTAGGTAAATGGTGAAAATTGTCAAGTAATCATAAAATATATCTGAAACATTCAAAATTTTTTTAATAACATTGAAAATATTAGTCACAATTCAGTTTTGAGATTATTTGATCTGCTTGTTTTATTTCTATTTTAAAGATGATATATATATATATATATGTAAGTGTTGATAAATATGGTGTTGAATTTATATTATGTTTATTGTGAAATTTTGGTTTCAATGCCATATTGAATACATTTTAACTTTCAAATTGTTGTTCAAATTTCTAGCCAGGGGAAATAGCTGTTAAAAACAGTTCTTAAATTGATGAAATACAATAGATAGATACAAAAATTAGGTCTAGGTTGGTTAAGACTTAGTCGAGTATGGTTCAGACTAGGTCGAGTATGGTTCAGACTAGGTCGAGTATGGTTCAGACTAGGTCGAGCACGGTTCAGACTAGGTCGAGCATGGTTCAGACGAAAATAAAATGGTTAAGTACTGGTCGAGTAAAGGTCGAGTACAAGTTCAGACTGTTAAGTATGGTTCAGACTACAGTCGTATATTAACAAGTAAATTTCAGACCAATTCAGACTGGTCGAGTACAAATTAGTACAGTCGAGTACAAATATAGGCCATTTCAGACTTTTACTGGTTTGTAGTGAATACATAAACAACATGCATAAATCAAAGCAAGCTAGCTAAAATTGAAATAAAAGCAATAAAAAACAGAGCATTGAAGGTAAGAAGACTTCAAATGTGGGACAGCCAAATTATTGTTTACATGAACTACAGAAGCAGTTATCTGAAGAACACCATGTTAAAATAAATTTTTTGAACTGTTCCAAAGTTAACAGGCTCTATGCATGGATAGACAGGGAGTTCCACAACTTTGCTGTCTCAAAGCTAATGATCCTTTTGACATGCCTTGTAGTTCTTGCATGGTCGTGGTAAATCAACTGTGAGTTTATATCTAAAATTATATGAGTTATCTGCAAAATTTAATAAATTGTGTAAGAACTTTAACTCGGGACTGGGTTTTTTCACAATTTTGTAGTTTCTTATGCCATGGTTCTCATGCATCTGATTTTAAATGATGGATGTTTAGATTATTTCAATTCATGTAATTGTTCGTTTGAGTATAAATAGTCTTTGAAGATGAATCTAAGCGATCGTTCTTGTTTTTGTTTTTTCTAATTTTTTAGTGCTACGCTCGCTACAAAAGTGTTATGTGAGTGGTCAGTAACTTAGGTTCGACATTATGAAAAATGTTAAATTGTCATTTTTGCCAGTTTATTCCGAGTCTTTTCACCAAATTTATTTGTCTGCATGACTTCTAATTTTACAGATATTTGATATGTTGTTGATTAAAGTCAAGCTTTCAATCAATGGTCACAATTTTTTTACAAATAGCAAAATATCGTTGATAAAAAATAACTAAAAATTAAACTGGGCCTAGTATAGAACCCTTTGGTACACCTTTATATATGTGAAGCATTTGACAGATATTTTGACCATTTTTTTTTTTATTTGGTTACAATATTCCGTTGAGATCTATAAGCTTCCCGATTTTTTGTTGTTGTTGACTTTTTGTACCCTGTTGTATAACACTCTCTTTTTATAGACTGCTGATTTCAGTTCATAATTCATGTATGGTATTTGTCTCGGACTTCTTTTCCTTTTCTTGAAAGGTGTGTGTTTGTTTGCTACCTGAACAAAGCTTTTGTTTAAATTATCATTTGCATTGTTACACTTTTCCATTTCTCTCATTCAGTCAGTTAGGTTCAAGAGTACGTAGGGATGCATCCAAAATTTCTCTCTCTGTTTTCTACTTTGAGAGTTCCAATTTGTTTTTCACCTCTATTATATGAAAGGGGAAATTTTCAAAACTATGTCCTCTAGTCCACACGTCGAACTAATTGAAAACAACATACAGATTATTTCTAATCGAAACTGGTAAATGTGCTAGAAATGTGTGTTTGTCTTTTGTAGTAGTACTGCTTGATTCTACCAAATTAGACAAGTTCGGTTGGACTTCAGTGAGAAATCTACCAACAGACAACTTAAATTTTGGAGTAAGTTTAACTGCAATAGCAGCTTCAATGTTAGATTGGATGTTTAGTATCTTACGACAAAGACCTCGTTTACATAGGTGCATGTGTATCTTTTTAATCCTGTTCGTAACAGCATTACTTGTCTCATATATTATCTTACTTTTAAAGACTTATAGATTTGTTGGATTTGCTCATATTCATTGAATTTGAAAATAATTATAAAAGCGGTAAAATTGACCATGAGGCAATCAACTATCATAGATCAAATGATATGAATGTAAGCAAAAATATGTCTTTGTGCTGCTCTCTCTCTCTTTGAAAGCAAATCTTAAATAACAGCAATTGGGTGTATGTTTAAGGAAAGAAATATGAATCTTCAACAAAGCAAATGAATAGGATGGTAGAGTGCAAGATTTACTTTTAGGTGAATTTAATTATTTTGATTTTATTTTATCAGTGGGGAGAAGGAGTTTATATCAAAGACGGAACACAATTTAGAGTGTATGCTTCCTGTTCTATTGGAAGTAGTTCTCTTGACAACTGGCTGCGGACACCGTTTATAGATACGAAAGATGCCAACAGTATTAGTATAGAAGTAGAATTTTCTATGAAAAAATGTTCCAGATATCAGAACCCAAGCCTGATTACATCATGTAAAGAATCTTTTAATCTGTATGTTTATGAAGCTGATTCAGACATTGCTAATGAATTCATACCATTCTGGGACGCTAAAACATACAACCTTGTTGATACAATTGCTGCAGATCATTCGTACGAGGGTTATCAGAACGAAGAAACCAAACTAAATATTGAAAAACGAGACATACCATTAACTAGACAACTGAGAGGTGTATACTTAGCGTTTCAAGAAACTGGTGCATGTGTTTCACTTATTTCTCTTAAAGTTTATTACACAGTATGTCCAAACATTACTATGAACTATGCGTTTTTCTTAGAAACTCCGGTTGGAAGTAGCCCGCAGGCATTAGAAGAACGAGACGGAGTTTGTGTGGCTAACTCGCAAATGGGGAAGTGGCGACCGACCTTGTTATGTAGAAGTTCTGGGGAATGGTATTATAACTCTGGTAAATGTCAGTGTCTCTCTGGATATGAAGGAAACAATGGAACGGAATGTCGGGGTATGTATAATACATGAGAAACGATAAATACAACAGGGACATTAAAAAGTTGACGAGAAATGGAATCGCCACGGTTGGGAACCAACAAAATTGCAAAAAGCAAGCTTTAGTTTCCTTTAAAAAGAGGGCAAATATTTCACTAAATTATATCAGTGTTATTTTCATTTTTATTGAATGTATAAATGTTGTATATTGCAATATTAGAAAAAGCTGATACTTCTACCTTATGATGTTTGGTTAATTGTAATTTTATGTAATTTTCTTTGCACTAGTCTTACTTCCGAAGATAGAATCCTCTTTCTCAGCCTGATGTTGTCAGAATTGAAATATTACTAAAAAAAGAACTGTTTATTTAGATTTGTAAATTATCTGAAACAAAAGAAAAACACTTGAAAATATCCTTCTAACCTTTTTTATAAAGCTGAAACACATTCTGTCATCGTATAAAGCTCTTGCATTTGTAATAACGTAAATACTTTCAATTTATAACAGTTTGTTAAATTTTATACCATTCAGTACTTTCTGGCTAATCATTTATATAGCTATGATATGCAATTGAATTAAGACTTGAATAAGTGTGCACTTTTTACAGCTCCTCCATCAAAAAATGCAATGATTAAAACACCGAACCCAAAGGATGTTAATAGACCATTTTCATATTACCGACTTATTTACGTTGCTCTTGCTTGACCGAGTACCAGGATGTCCTACCACAGAGAAGGTAACCTGCCGAAAAAATATAAATTCCGGAGTCAAAAGTCGGTAATATGAAAATGGTTAAAGGTGTCAGACCACCAATTAAATATCCCTAACTGTTCAACCAAATTTTGCAATTTTCAAAGCTTTCTAAATATTTTACCTTAAGTTTAATTTCATAGAAACCAAGTATATCCTGAATTGTACATGTATCAGCTTTCTGCACGCCAATTTTCAACATACATTTAAAGCCTTTTAAGAAAAAAACTGACTTTCAAAAAGAAGTACTCCAAAAATAACCCCGGGTTTTCTTGAAATCTTAAATTAGTATACTATGGAGCGCATTAATCCTCAATGTTTAATGCAAACTCATAGACAAGTAAATTTTGGCTCAAAATGGTCTAAATATATCTCTTTCACCAAAAGTTTCATTTCTGCAAATTTGTTGCTTAGTTTAAGTAAACAAGGACATCAAAAGCACTATTTTGTGTCAGAGTAGGGCTACTTTTACATACGTTCTAAATTAGAGGGAGTAATTGGTGGTCTGACACTTTAAACAGAGGGGAAACTGACAAAACCAAACACTCGACTATGTCAACCAACGAAATTACTAGAAATTAGCTGTCAATTCGTGGCTTGGACTTTACTACTCCCTTTTTAATTCTCTGTTCACTAAGTAGTAAAATGATTAGATTTATCTTCACTTGTTTTGACTGTCTGAACCTTCATGTGTTATCCTATCAAACATGAAACATCTCTGTTTTACAATTCGTTTGCGTTTCAAAGTGAAAGTATCTAACAAGTGGGTTAACAAATCGATCTCAAGTGTTCGGATTTTCATATTATATCACATTCGAAAGGTATTTGGCAGTTCAAAGGTATAACAAAAATACCGCACTCCAAGGTAAATTAATAACGGGGAAGTATATACAGAAGAAATGACATCAAACGTTAGTCTTAAACAACCAACAGAACTGATGTAAAGCAACTGTCATACTCTAGCTATAAAACCAGGTTTAATCCATCATTTTTTATATAAGTAAATGCTTGTACCAAGTCAGGAATATGACATTTGTTTTTCATTCGTTTGATGTGTTTGAGTGTTTGATTTTGCCATTTGATCATTTGAAGGGACTTTCCGATTTGAATATTCCTTGAAGTTCAGTATTTTTGTTAGTTTACTTTATACTCCTGACATTGTACAAGCATTTTCTAAAACAAAATGGTAGATTAAACCTGGATTCATGGCTGGATAATTCTCACTTTTGCAAATATCAGAATTCCCGGTTTTAATACTGGTTAAGACAACTATGGTCAATGTTCCATCATTTCAGGTTTGTTGTATTTCTAGACGTGCCACTTTCTCATAAAATTCATTTAAAAATGATACTGTCCAATCCATTGAAATATACGCATAAAGTGGCTTCTAAATTGTGACGGTTTAAATGCATGAACTGAAACAATATTAATTTATTTTTCAGAAACAACGGCATCATCAAATTCCAGGAATTGAAATATAACTAACAAGAAAAAATCTATAAAGGCAATAAAAAGTCGGTAAAAATGGAAATCAAACTTCTTGAAAAATATTATTAATCGCAAAAAAATTGCACATAAAAAACTTTTAGAATACATACCAAAAATTAAACTTATTCGGGCTTATTTAAAAAGCGGCTTAACCAAAACAATGTATACAAAAACATATTACCGAACTCCAAGGTCAATTCAAAAAAGTGAAGTCCATAAAAACTGACAAAATCAAACATTAGACTTTATCAACTAACGAAACGAATGTAAAAATAATCTGTCACATTCCTATTATGGTACAGGCTTTTTCCGAAGAAAATGGTGGGTTTAACCTGGTTTTATACTAGTTTAACCTCCCACTTGTATAATTATTGTCATTGCTCGACACTGCTTTTAATGTTAGTGATATGTAGACCATAAAAGTAACCACAAACACTATGTATTGAAAGCCATTTGTTGTCCAGAATATTAAGCAGTGATTACATTATAAGGGACAACATAATGTCATGTAACAGAATTAAACTCTTAACGGCCACCCAACAAACTGATGAAGTGCTCTAGAGGGTTATAATTACTCAAGAGATGTCAACTTTTGTCTTGATTTGTGAAAAAAAAACAAGTGATAAAGTTCATAAACTGTTGACACAGAGGTATGTCAAGCGTTTTTGTAATTTTGATAGGTAATGCAAATAAAAAAATCCAAATGGCAATATTTAAACGTGTAAACTATGCAAAATATTCAAAGTCAATGAACCAATGGAAATTAGAAATGCCAATACTTATAAAACTGTATACCAAATATCATGGACTTATCATAAGTGGTTTCCTTTACGGTAACCTAAACACAAACTTTAATGTGTAAACAATGTAACAGATTCAAAGTCAATGAACCATGCTGAAGGGGTGGGGGCCATATAATCACCATGGAGCCTTGCAAATGCTAATACAACTTCATACCCTATGCCATTGGCTTAACATAAGCGGTTCCTATAAACTGATCTAATCACAAACTTAACATGTTAACTATGAAAAACATTCAAAGTCAATAGTCCATGGCTGGGGGAGCGGAGTCAAATAATTTCCATGGAAATGAGATGTGCCAATGCTTTTAAATACCAAATATCATTGACCAACCATTAGTGGTTCCCCATTAACTGACCTAATCACAAACAAATACATTTAAAATAAGCACAAGTTTCAAAGTAAAAACAGACCATGACTGAGGGGGCTGGGGCAAAATAATATTAATGGAAATGAGATGCGCAAAGTCTAATACAATTAAATACCAAATATCATTGACCTTCCACTTGTGGTTCCCCATTAACTGACCTTATCACAAACTAATACATGTAATGTAAGCAAAAGTTTCAAAGTCAATAGACCATAACTGAAGGGCAGGGCCAAATAGCCTCCATGAAAATGAGATGTGCCAATGCTTATGCAACTGCATACCAAATATCATTGAACTCCCACTAGTGATTCCCCATTAACTGACCTAATCACAAACTAATACATGTAAAGAAGCAAAAAATTTCAAAGTCAATAGACAATGACTGAAGGCGGGGCCAAATAGTCTCCGTGGAAATAATATGTGCCAATGCTTATTCAACTGCATACCAAATATCATTGACATACCCTTGTTGTTCCTATAAACTGACCAAATCACAAACTAAGGTATTGTTGACGCCGCTGTCGGAAACAGCACTCCTGTCTCGCTATTTGACTCTGTCAAGGCGAGACAAAAATCATCAAATGTTCAAGTCAAGACAACTAGAAATGCTAAATACTAAATATAGGCTCTCGTTATTTTCTATATGAGTAGTTTACCGGTTTTAGATATCATGAATGGATTAAGAAGATAAATCAAGGTTACATACACTTGGCAAAATTATAAATATGGCAGGAATTTACACAAGTGTAACGTATCAATTGAGATATGTAAAACGCCTGGCGAATTAATGTGCTGAGATTATGGTTATTGGGAAATCAGAGCTAGCTAATCAGACAATTAAATTCACCACGTTTGACATAGATTCAAATTCGAAGTGTGTAAATATCGAGGAAAAGATCAAGATATGAAGCAAACCTTCTCTTTTTGATCGTATCCTTCATCTTTAAATGGTTGTCACAGCCATTTAAAAGTTTTTAGACAATCAAAGGAAAGTGCAGTTGTAAACTTAACGTAACTTTAAACCAACTGATTATGTAGAATGAATAAAAGAAATAAAAAATTGACTTATTTCAGATGCATGTCGGAAATTTATAAGGCAATATACAAAGGTCAATATATTCACTCATGTTAAGACTCCCATAGCAAGGCATTTGAATCTATGACGGATCTAAAAACTTTAAAAGTGAGAAATCAATGTAGGACAGGCCCCAATAACCTCCATGAAAATGAGATATGTCAATGCTTTTAATACTACATACCAATATCCATTAACTTATCATAAGTGGTTCCCTATAAACTACCATAAAAAAAACCAACAATCTAATGAACCATAATGATTTGGCAATCTTATATATTTTCAATGGAAATTAGACTTGCAAATGCTTATACAACAGCATACTAAGTATCATTGACTTAACATTAGTGGTTCATCTTAAACTGATCTGATTACATACACATGTAGTTTAAAAAAGTTTTGAAGTCAATGAATCATGATGTGCGTTGAGATAAGAAAATCTCTATGGAAATTAAATGTGCCAATGCTCATACAACTGCATACCAAATATCATTAACATACCACAAGTAGTTCCCCATAAAATGACCTAATCAAAAACTAGCACATGTCAATTAAGCAAAAGTTTCAAAGTCAATAGACCACGACTGAGGTGGCAGGCCAAACAATCACCATGGAAATGAGATGTTCCATCAATGCTAATACAGCTGCTATCTAATTATCATTAACATACCATTGGTCAGTTAGAGCCTTTACACTTGGAAGAATATCCAGTGACACAGTAAGAGCCTTTACACTTGGCAGAATATCCAGTGACACAGTAAGAGCCTTTATACTTGACAGAATATCCAGTGACACATTAAGAGCCTTTACACTTGACAGAATATCCAGCGACACAGTAATAGCCTTTACAAGCCCTTTCTTGATGAAAAGCCATGCCATCTTTACAGTAAAACAAGCATTCTTAGAGTATTGCATAACAATCCCCTACCTGTTAAAATTTCATAATACTGGAACAAAATGCTATACTTGATCTATAACTTGTCATGGTGTAAACTATATAACAAATATCAAGTCAATATCTTCAAGCATGATGAAAAAGGTGTGGAAACTGATTATTTGAGTGAATTGTCCAAGGACCATAACTCTGCACAAAATCATCAGACAGGAACAAAATTCATACTTGATCTGTAACTTGTCATTATAAAACTACATACCAATTATCAAATGAACATCTTCAAGCATGACCAAAAAAGAGTGGAAAACTGATTATTTGGGTGAATTTGCTAAGTCCATGGACCATAACTCTGGACAAAATCATCAGAACGGAACAAAATTTGAACTTGATTTGTAACTTGTCATGATGAAAATATATACCAAATATCAAATCAATATCTTCCAAGCATGAAGAAACAAAGTGTGGAAAACTGATTTGCCGGACTGACTGACGGATGGACAGACAGACAGACAGACAGACAGACAGACAGACGGAGTGCAAACCTAAAGTCCACTTCGACTTTGACGGTAGGGGACTAATAACAAACAATATATGAACTATGCTAATTGGCCGTACAAGATGCTTTTTTGGCCACAATGAAAGGTTAAGAATAAAAAAATATTTTCTAGCTTTTATTAATTATAGATGTAAATTCAGTAAATAGATAAACAAATAAGTTAAAAAATAAAGAAAAATTACAGCAACTAAAAAGTGTTGGACGGAATCCATTTAAATCACAGATTCTTTAACAAATATAACAAAAGAAACAATTTATACCTAAACTGCTTTGAATCTTAAGAAGCCATGCACAACAGGCATGAGCAAAGAGCAAGGTTTCTGTAACTATTCAATTCTCGTTCCCTGGTATTTAGAACAACAGATCATATTGTGAAAGTTATTAACCTTCAGAAAGAGAGTACCTAAATTGAAGTTTTTGACTAAATAAACCAGGGAATGTTTTTTTTTAAATGTTTCTTCTATGATTGCTCGCTGTCAATTGTAAAAAAATAATAACTGGTTTTACAAGACAAAAACACATAAAATAGTATGTATTTTACAACATTTTACAGTAATATCTACACTTTACAAGTAAAAATATGCAGATCAAATTTCATAACATTGAGGAATGTCAAAAATCTGTACAGATACTACAAATATGATCAGTAAGAGAAATGTGATATTTATCAATGAGACAACATAACAATACAATAAAACAATGTATTCTCAATTATCATGTATACAATGAATGTTTTACTGTGAATTTCCTATAGATCATATCAGGCAAGGATTGGTTAAAAAAATACCTAGCTTTCAGAAAGAATCTGTACATGAAAAATTATTACGAGAACCAGGTTATGCTTAAACATTGATATCTGTTTTTTTAGACATAAAAGAAGAATGTGTCTGAGGACATAAATGCCCGCTCAGCTTTGCAATTTTCCAAGTTAAAAAGGGGCATAACTCTATACCTGTAAATGACTCACAACCAACATTTGAACTCTGTCTGCATGTTGTGATTCTTAGCATTGTGTACCAGTTTCATAAATTAGGATGAGACCAAATTAAGTTCAGAGTGCAGAAATAAAAAAAAATTGCAATTTTGTCAAATTTTTAAGGGCATAACTCTAGAACGGTAAGTGTCTCATAGACTAAATTCAAACTCGGCAAGTTTTGGTTCTAAGCATTGTGTATGAATTTCATAAACTTCCGATGAGAAAAACTTAAGTTAGAGTGGGAAAAAGAAAATGGCATGGACGGATGAACAGAAGGACAGTCAAAGGAAACACTAAATGCCACCCCGCTATGGTGGGGGGCATAAAAAAAATCATGAGTTCAATTAAAACTACATTATTTATATGTGTGTAAATTAATGACAAAGCTAGACTTTAAAATTGTTAATTTAACAATGCAAAAATCCTCCAATTGTAGCCATACTGTAATTTACAACTAGTCATTAAGGAGACACTACTTTAAATATCATTTTTTTTCTGAAAAATGAACATAAGAGCACAATTTTTGCCAAATCAGGCAGGATGTACCACTAAATATGTGTGCACAAAAAGACCAGTCAAGTCAAGAATGCCAAGCATTTGCTAGGCCTAAGCATTTGTGAGACAGTTCTATAATTAAAAGAAAATTGAATAAGAAACTAGGAATATTTTCATTAATCCTACCCAATCAGGTTACACAATGATTATCAAATGGTTTCCATAAGGAACTGGAAATTCTATCAAATGTTTTGCAACATCCAACATATTGTTAGGTACTTGTTTATCCAATTCAGTTCCCTGGTTTTATCCACCTATAAATCAAACCCTCTGTCATGTGCACTTCTATGATCTTGGTTAAACTACAAATACATTAAAACTTCTCAAAAGTTTATCGTGGATCATAACCACCATAACCAAAATCATATTCATCCTCTTCATCACCATGGCCATTTTGGTACATTCCATATTCTTGCTGTATTGGTCTTCCATATTGGTCTACAGTCCCACCATATCTCTCATCTATAAAACCCATATTGGACTCTGGTCTCGCATAAGGTTCATATCCATCCTGTATATCTATACCATCGTATCTATAATAAGATAATTCATTAACTTTAGAACAAAAGAAGAGGTACTGTGAGCAATACTTGCAAATGATACCCTTGCCCCCACATACCTGATCGGCAAAGTCAATGATTACCTGACAGAAACCCAAAAAATAATGTTATATGAAGTGCATAGGCATTATATGGTTTAGATTCTAAGAAAGTTTCAAGAAATTATAATAAGGGATAAGGAGGACACAAAAATGGGTACACCAAGATAAAAGTTTTGCAAGTCAATAATTTGATAAGGGAAACTCAAAAAATATGTTGGCTAAAAATAACAAATTTGGAGGTACACAATGGTATTACATGTTGAGGACTTTGATAAAGTTTCATTAAGTTGTAATATGAGGTTTAGGAAAAGAAAGTCGAAACAAATGTATACTGCAGTGTGCTGATATGAAGAAGTCAATGTCAAGCCAAAGTTAACCCCACATTCAGATGAAAAAATAAAATTGGAGGTGCAAAAGGCCATCAGGTTCGAAAGTTTCATAAAATTTTCTCACATTGTTCATGAGCAGTTGATGGTACAAAAGTGTGAAGTAAGGACAAACAGTTGAATGCGCCGACATAGACAGACCTATATCACACTGTTCTGGTTAGAGGACAATACAAAAGTGTGAAGTAAGGACAAACAGTTGAATGAGCCGACATAGACAGACCAATATCACACTGTTCTGGTTAGAGGACAATACAAAAGTGTGAAGTAAGGACAAACAGTTGAATGAGCCGACATAGACAGACCTATATCACACTGTTCTGGTTAGAGGACGATACTCACCCATATGGCATATATGGCTGTCCATGTGCATCATAAGGTTGGCCTTCATAGGGTTGACCATCATACATTCCATTCTCATCTATATATTCTGGTGTTAAATGTCCATCCATAATGTATCCATTCTCATAGGCATCTTAAATATATAATTTATATAATTCATTTTTAGACAAAATCTTGAAGATTGTGGACTTGTCAATTATGTTAGAATTTCAGAAGTATAAAATATTTTGCTTTCAGTCAATATTTAATCATTTAAATCTTATATTACAGCTTATTATAACTAACTCAAGGCCAATCTTATTGGGGTAACAACAACAAAAATTTCTTTTCAGACTTTTCCAAAATGTAGTTTATTTTGTATAGCTAATACATGGTAATATGTCCTCATTTTTATAATAGCAATTTAATGTGAGAAACGAAACCAAATAATAGAATTATCAGTTAAAATATGTAAGATGGATCTGTTAAAATTTTGTCTGAAAAGAAAAAGGAAAATGGCGTCAAGATACTAGTTTTCATGCTACATAACAAACTACGTGAATTCACTGAACATTTCTTCACAAAATTAAATTTGTCTCAGTTATCTTCCCTTTTATAGTAGAATGTAAAAAAAATTTAAACAGGTACTAAATTAGAATGTGTTTAAAGAGTTTCTTCCATTAGTTTCAAGCCTTATTTGATTATGACAGGATTCATGTAACACACCCTACACACCTTCGCTCTCACAAAACTTTATTCATTCAGGAACAAAATTTTTACTCAAAAAACCAAATCCAATAATTTGGTTGGTTAATATCTGAGTTTGAGTATGCTAATTGTTTTCGAAAGTTTTATGATCGAAAGGCCAGGTCTTCTTCAGTCATGTAAATTATGAGTATTTCACTTCAGTATAAAATTGAGAATGGAAATGGGGAATGTGTCAAAGAGACAACAACCCGACCACAGAACAGACAACAGCAGAAGGCCACCATACTACATCTTGTAATGATTAAGGGTACATGCTTTTTGTTTTAATAACCTCAAACATTTAACATGCTAAAAGGTATCTTAAAATTACAATAAAAACACAAAATATGTAACCAACATCAAAAGCTTACTTCTGTTCAAAGCAAAAAACAATACCAAACAATTCTATATAATCCTTTTAAAAAAGAAATCTACTTTTCTATAAAATTATATCTTTTTCATTCATGCTACAATCCTAAGTCTTTTTTTTTATTTCTTTAACACTGGAATTTAGAACATGCTACCTTGATTTATTTGCATGACGATTGCTTCTTCTTATGAATTTTTTGCTCTGGAATATTTTTTTTTTATTTCAGAGTATCTGATACAAGAAGAAGTTCTCCAGAAAAACATATTAAAATTGATGATTTCAGAAAGACATTTGGGTTTTGTTGCTTAATAATAACCAATTCATTGACTCTTTTTCCACGACAAAAAAAAATAAAATAACATTAAGAAGGGAAAATCACCCAGTCCAGTATTCAACATTCCCAAAGAACTTGTTAAGCTTACCTTTGTTACCTGTGGTAAAAAATATACAAATCAGTTGTCATTACCTACACAATGAACACTGAAAAATATAGGGTTTTTCATAGCTGGGCTTTTATTTATATACACTGCATGTTGTAAAAGATTTTCTTGAATAAAATATTGTAAATATTTTTCCATAAAGAAAAGGTAAAACCTGATGTAAAAGACAATTGCTAACTTGTATAAGTTTTGGAATTTGTTTTGCTTTTATTTAAATCAAATTTTCATTTTTGGTAGAATCAAAATAATAAATAATCATCTTTATTTAATCTTTCTAAATGTGGACTTTCATGTATGATATACTTAGTAATGGAACATACTTTTTCTCATTCACCAAGTACAAAATTGATACAAAATATTGAATAAGGTCAGCTTAAACTTGAAAATATTGACCTTGGATTTGGGGAGAGAGATAACCAAAGGAAATATAATACAATAGGTGATAGTATTATTGGTTCATCCAAAACAATATATATTGGAAGAGTAAAAACTGTGACCTTGTATTGGAATAGTGAAAACTGTGACCTTGTATTGGAATAGAGTGAAAACTGTGACCTTGTATGGAATAGAGTGAAAACTATGACCTTGTATTGGAAAAGAAACCCACAAGGATTAATGTGGTTACCTCCATAAAACAGGTCTGGTCTGTCCAGGATGTCTGTATCCTGCAGATAAGGATCGTAGCCTTCGTCTCCATAATACTGGTCTGCCATTTCATCCATTTGTCTTGTCTCAATCATATCTAACCATTGAGAGTTATGCCAACGAAATTTCTCTAACTGGATACGTTTTGCCCATTCTGGATCAAATTCCTATAATTAATAAATATCAGTACATTTTAACTATTAAGTTTTAGTAGGTCTCTATTATGCCTTGAGAGAGACTATTGAGTATGAAAGGATTTCACAGACTTTATCAAGGGAGACAACTGAGTACTTTCAGCTTCTATGTCCTGGGGTAAGTTCAGTAAATAAATGTATGTCATAAAGAACCACCAATTTAGGGGAGAGCTTTCTGGATAACACTGAAGTCCTATGCTCCATCGATTGGTATATATAGATGATGTTTTAATAAATATTTTTGATATAAATGCTGAATGCACTTATATTTTTCTACTACAGGGTCGAAAAGTAATGGGGATCACTGTAGAAATTTAGTGTGAATCTAGTGTTTGTAAACAAGGCCATGTGAATGGCCAAAAAAGCTGCATGACCCTATGTTTTAAAATTGCAAAAGATGGGGCCTACATTTGTTCCTATAATGAATAATATATGAAAGTTTCTGATTCCTAAAGGTAACCCAGATGGTATGAATTTATTTCAAGAAATATGTTTGCATGGAAGTCAATGGGAGATTTTTTATTGAATTTTACCTCTCCTATGTATTGTCACAGACTTTATCAAGAAACTAGAAACCCTTGACTACTGAGTATTTACAGTCAGATGAGAGACTACAGCAGACTTACAGCTGTCAAGGAAGATTACTGAGTACTTACAGCTATCAAGGGAGATCACTGAGAACTTACAGCTGTCAAGGAAGATTACTGAGTATTTAAAGTTGTTAAGGAAGATTACTGAGTACTTACAGCTATACAGGGATCAACTGAGTACTTAAAGCTATCAAGGGAGACTACTGACTTCTTAAAGTTGTCAAGGAAGATTACTGAATCTGATAGTTGTCAAGGGAGATTACTGAGTACTAACAGCTGTCAAGGAAGATTACTGAGTATTTATAGTTGTCAAGGGAGATTACTGAGAACTTACAGCTGTCAAGGAAGATCACTGAATACTTACAGCTATCAAGGGAGATTACTGAGAACTTACAGCTATCAAGGGAGACTACTGAGTACTTATAGTTGTCAAGGGAGATTACTGAGTACTTAAAGCTATAAATGGAGACTACTGAGTACTTATAGTTGTCAAGGGAGATTACTGAGAACTTACAAATGTCAAGGAAGATCACTGAGTACTTACAGCTATCAAGGGAGATTACTGAGAACTTACAGCTATCAAGGGAGACTACTGAGTACTTATACTTGTCAAGGGAGATTACTAAGTACTAAAAGCTATAAATGGAGACTACTGAGTACTTATAGTTGTCAAGGGAGATTACTGAGTACTTATAGTTGTCAAGGGAGATTACTGAGTACTAACAGCTATACAGGGAATCAAATGAGTACCTAAAGCTATCAAGGGAGAATACTGACTTCTTACAGCTGTCAAGGAAGATTACTGAGTATTTAAAGTTGTTAAGGAAGATTACTGAGTACTTACAGCTATACAGGGATCAACTGAGTACTTAAAGCTATCAAGGGAGACTACTGACTTCTTAAAGTTGTCAAGGAAGATTACTGAATCTGATAGTTGTCAAGGGAGATTACTGAGTACTAACAGCTGTCAAGGAAGATTACTGAGTATTTATAGTTGTCAAGGGAGATTACTGAGAACTTACAGCTGTCAAGGAAGATCACTGAATACTTACAGCTATCAAGGGAGATTACTGAGAACTTACAGCTATCAAGGGAGACTACTGAGTACTTATAGTTGTCAAGGGAGATTACTGAGTACTTAAAGCTATAAATGGAGACTACTGAGTACTTATAGTTGTCAAGGGAGATTACTGAGAACTTACAAATGTCAAGGAAGATCACTGAGTACTTACAGCTATCAAGGGAGATTACTGAGAACTTACAGCTATCAAGGGAGACTACTGAGTACTTATACTTGTCAAGGGAGATTACTAAGTACTAAAAGCTATAAATGGAGACTACTGAGTACTTATAGTTGTCAAGGGAGATTACTGAGTACTTATAGTTGTCAAGGGAGATTACTGAGTACTAACAGCTATACAGGGAATCAAATGAGTACCTAAAGCTATCAAGGGAGAATACTGACTTCTTATAGTTGTCAAGGAAGATTACTGAGAACTGATCGTTGTCAAGGGAGATTACTGAGTACTAACAGCTATCAATTGAGACTCATGGTGACATTAAAAGCTATAAAGGGAGATTACTGAATACTTACAGCTATGATGTCCAATGTGTTATCACAGACTTTGCGTATTTCAGCATTTTTATCATGCATCAGATCTATGAGATAAGCAGGCGCCTCTGACCAAAGTTAAGAAATATATAAAAGAATCATTTGAAACATTCTTTTCTGTTATGCCAACTTATTTTTGTAATAGGTGAACAAAATGGGTTGCTATCTCATTGACATATACGATCCCTCTACATATTTTTTGCAATACATCTTTAAATGTGAATGCTATGACAACAGTTGGTATTTAATCATTAAAGTCCTGTTTACTGATGGATAAAAATATCATAAGATAATGTTGGTTTTCATTTTATGAGACGACCAAGAAAATGTATGTTGTAACAAGAACTTATGTCAAAAAGACACCTTCTAACACTATCACATTTCCTTGTTCGTGTTAATTTAAACCTTAATTTGCTATACCCTTCAAAAAGTAGACTTTATAATGAACATGAATTTTTTTTTTTTCTTAAAACAACTTTATGGTTAACATCCTTAAACCAAACTTGAACCTGATATGGGCCAAACAAGCCTACAGACAAATGCACAGACAATTATAGGTTTCATAACCAGTTGGAATTGGATATTGCTTGATATCAACTTGAGTTATTTAATTTCAATATAGAAATAAACGAGCCTGTGGAGAGTTTTTTTATTACAATTCAAATTAAAAAAAAAGAGTTGATATCAAGCAATATCCAATTCTCACAAGTTCTTAAACCTATTTCTCTTATGGTCAACACTCTCGTTGTGGTAAATTAAAATTTGGCAAATAGCAGTATGACGTCATATGACCTGTTCCGGCGTTGAACTCTAACATCAGACATTTTAAAACTTTTTGTACAGTTCAGAAACTGAAAAAAATTTGACAAAAAGAAGATTTTCAGGTGAAAAGTGTGAGTGTTTTGTATATTATTGAAGAAATCACATATGTCTGTTGCCATGGACAAAATGTACATCATCTTAACCTTTGAATGTCTTCAATGACCTAATGATTAACCAATAAAAATGTTCTTACATTGTTCAAGATGCTGGATTTAAGAAAAATCAAATAAACACAGTTTTTGGTATCATACGACGTGCCGTGTGAAATTTACAAATATAAGAGAAAGGATACGAGTATCTTTGATAATAACTTCACGTGTTGATTCATGGAAAATCATCTGATAGAACACATAAACAATCTGACAAACCATCTCATCATCTTCCTGTTTGGCTGTAAAACACATAATACAAATACACTAATTAAACCTTTTCTGCACCTGTTTTAATTATTATAACACTAGAGCAATTTGTGCAGAAAATATAGCATGAAATAATTATTCAGTATACAGTGGTAAAATCATTTTCTTAAAATACATATTTTGTAATGAATAAACTGATGAATTTAAGTAATTATGTGTCATTTTTATTTTTCACTAATTTACAGGACTAGGTCCTTTTCTTTAAAAAAAAATAGGCAATAAGCACTTTCTATAAAAGGAATAACCATTCATTGTCATGAAATAAAATATTTGTACGAGGCTTAGAAACAGTTAGAAATGTGAGTATTCTTTATATAAATATTTGTACAAGACTTAGAAACATTTACAAAATGTGAGTATTCTTTATATAAATATTTGTAAGAGACTTAGAAACATTTAGAAATGTGGCCATTCTTTATAATAACTTACCATTCAGTAATTCAATGAGACAGTGTATGATGTTAGACTCTGCTAACAATTTGGCACAAGCATCATCATTGCACACAGTTCCCACTAATATAATAACATCTAATACAATATCATCTTCAGCACTTCCTACAAAAATATAATAACATCTAATACAATATCATCTTCAGCACTTCCTACAAAAATATAATAACATCTAATACAATATCATCTTCAGCACTTCCTACAAAAATATAATATAAACTAAACATATTGCTATGCTTTTACTGATATTTTAGTCTGAGATACATGATTTTTTAATCAGTTGTTATTGGCTTTGAACTAGCTGTCAGTAACTGTGAGTACTCTCAGATCTTTACTTAGTGTCTTTTTTGTTGTGTGTTTTCGTTAGATGTTTTCTGCTTTGTATCAATCTGATGAGTTAAGCCTTTTTCATCTGACTTTTATAGTTTGTTCTTATGTTGTACTGTTGCACCACTGTCCCCGGTTAGTGGGAAGGTTTGGCGCCAGCAAACTAGTTTAAACATATAAATCATTCAAATTGCCAATGAGACAAATATCTACCAAAGTTCAAATGATGTGGATGTAAGCAATCATATGCAACCGTACAACCTTCAACAATAAAAATAAAATGCTCCGCTGGGCGCAGCTTGATACGACCGCAGAGGTTGAACCCTGAACAGTTGGGGCAAGTATGGAGACAACATTCAAGCTTGATACAGCACTGAATTTGGATTGTGATTAATTATTTGACACAGGCTCACACAGCATAGGTTTCTGACACAGAATGAATGTGGTCTAAGAACTTAAAAAATTTACCTATTCAAACCATATCATCATTATTTGCTTTTATATATAAATCAGAAATAACCAATTTAAAACGGAAAATTTTAAAGAAAAAAAAAGGAAAAAAAAATCCCTCCCCCAAATTTTTTGAACCCCCTCATGATTCATCACCCCCAAACTCAATCCCAGCCTTCCCTTTGTGGTATGGTACCTAGCAGTACAATTTCAGAGAGATCCATACACTTGAACACAAGTTATTGTCTGGAAACTAGAAAAATGCTTGTTTTTAGGCCCCTTTTTGGCCCCTAATTCCTAAAAATTGAGGCAATTACCCCCAAAATCAATCCCAGCCTTCCCTTTGTGGTATGGTACCTTGCAGTACAATTTCATAAAGATCCATACACTTACACACAAGTTATTGTCATGAAACTAGAAAAATGCTTGTTTTTTTTTCCTTATTGGCCTCTAATTCCTAAAATTTTGAGGCAATTACCCCAAAAATCAATCCCAGCCTTACCTTTGTGGTATGGTACCTTGCAGTACAATTTCAGAGAGATCCATACACTTGAACACAAGTTATTGTCTGGAAACTAGAAAAATGCTTATTTTTGGCCCCTTATTCCTAAATGTTTTGGGCAATTACCCCCAAACTCAATTCCAGCTTTCCTTTTGTGATATGGAACCTTGTAGTACAATTTCAGAAAGATCCATACACTTACACACAAGTTATTATCATGAAACTAGAAAAATGCTTGTTTTTTGCCCCTTTTTTGGCCCCTAATTCCTAAAATTTTGAGGCAATTACCCCCAAAATCAATCCCAGCATTCCCAATGTGATATGGAACCTTGTGGTACAATGTCAGACAGATCCATACACTACAACACAAGTTATGTCTGGAAGTTACAAAAATGCTTATTTTTGGCCCCTTTTTCCTAAACTGTTGGTACCATAACCCCCATAATCAATCCCAACCTTCTTTTTGTGGTATTGAACCTTATGGTAAAATTTCATAGAGATCCATTAACTTAAACTAAAGTTATAGTGCGAAAACCAATGTGTCTTCGGACGACGATGACGATGCCAATGTCATACCAAATCACGACCGCAAAATGTTTTTGCGGTTGTATAAAAACCCATACCATATAGTTGGCTTTAAAAGGTCCTGACATGAAAAATGTGAAACAATTTACAAAAAACAAATACGACAGCCATGAACCAACGACAACCACTGAACTACAGGCTCCTGACTTGGGACAGGCACATACAGAATGTGGAGGGGTTAAACATGTTTGAAGGTGCCAACCCTCCCCCTATTCTTGTTTACTTTCTTCCAAGATTGTACATGCAGTCATTGAATAAAATAACTAGCTATAGAAACTATCATGAATTATGAAATTATACTTGAGGTAGATGAAATTGAGTGACTCAGGACAAAAATTTTCTTAGTCTTTATGCTGAAGGCAGCAAAAATACTCATAACCCTACATAGGGTTTTGTCCTAAAGGCAGCAAAAATACCCACAATCCTGCATAGGGTTTTGTCTTGTTTATCTTTCTCTTAAAAATAATGTCAGAAATTTGGGTTTTTTTAACCAAGATTGTTTTTTATAAATATTTAATATATATTATAATGTTGCCAGTTTAATAATTAGATAATGAAATATTAAGATAAAATTAAAAAGCAACATCCAACATACCTAGAGCTATTTCAGAAATGATTATATGGGAGTAGGAAGCCACTCCTATTAAATTTGATGGTGGTGGCTATTTCAGATTGATAGTCTAAACAGGAAATAATCAATTAAAATGTAATGCACCAAGTTAAATAAAAAGTGCCTTCCAACCCCCCAAACTCCCTTCTCTCTCCCCATAACATTTATTCCTGGAACAGCCATTAAGTATTATATGACAAACCTGGCTCAAGTCTTCTCTTTATCCAGGGTATCAATTCATATTCCCTTATTATAAGTTCATAATCCAGGTCTGGTATGGTTAAGTTACCCAGAATTCCTAGTGCCTCTACACCAAAATCATCGTTGTCTGCTTGTAACATGGCATCTGCTAGATCACTTATGTAATCCTGTAATAACAGACTTATGTTAATACAAAGATGCAACATTTATGGGAGTCTTCCATGGCCATATACAGTATGTACTGTGGATTCAGGTAATTTCCCATGTACCAAGTTTATGGGTTGAAAAAAAAAACATTTTCCTGTATATCTGATACATTCTGCATACAAAACCTATAGAAAATTTGAATTGATCAAGAACTTGATCTCATGTTGCATCTATAGCCAAGAAAACCGTGATAATTTTACCCCTCACACTTAAAGACTCCTTGAAATTACAAATTATACCTTTGACTATAAAAGTAAGCTTTGAGATATGAAAAGACTTCATCTATTGGTGCTGTAGAGTTGATCATTTAGTTATCTGTTAGCGGTCTGTTCAACTGAAGAACAAAAGTTACTTCTATTGAGTCAACTTGCTGAGCAAGCATAAATCAGAATAAAAAAAAAGATAAGTTTTATATACATGTTCCAAATATTTTTACCTCAAGAATTATTAAGGTCTTTGTAATAAATGCAAATGTTTTTTTTTCAATGTATTTTGTGTTCAATTTGGTATACACTACATCTCCTTTTCTTAATAAATAAACACATAAACTTACAACAAATAAATTTTTTGTTGGTCCATCATGCTGTGAGATATTTCTGACCATTTTCATCAACAATGGATCTCTAAATTTAAAAGCTCTCTTCATTAACATTTTTAGTCCTTGACCTTCACAAATAATTTGAGCATTCCTTTTATTAGAAGCTAAGTTTATACACAACGATAACAGTTCAATGTCTGTCTTTTCTGGACTTTCTAATAACAATTTCATTGCCTGAAACAAAAAAGATTAATATTATATATTTAGTACACTAGGGTAAAATTGGTATGAGTGAAATAGTCATGAGTAAATAATATTGTGAATGCTAGAAAAAAAAATATACAAATGGCTTTTACTGTTTTGTTCATGCTCTTATATAGTAAAGGAATTAAATGCATCATATTCCAGATGCCCTGTAGTTTATTTCTGAATACAAAACCTATCGAGTTATCGAAAGGCATTCCTCAAATATTTGGCTATATGTTACTTAATAAATGGGGAATGTGTCCATGGGACACAGATGATGCCTCCGCTTGCCTATAAAAGTAAAGCTATCAAGGGACATAACTCTAGAACGGTAAAAGTGACTCTACCCAAATTCGTACTTGATCTGAGTTCTGTGGTAATAAGCAATTTTGGGACGTACAGTCGTACAGACGGACAAGGGTAAAACTTAATGCCCCCTCCGCAACGGCAGAGGCATAAAAAGTTTGGTCTTTACCATCCAATGTGAAATGTTCATTTTTAGTTAAAAATGAGGATGTGTGAATTTTAGGCTCTCAACTTTGAAAAACACTCAAAAATGGCAGCATTTTCTTTTAATACTAAAAGATAACTATTTCTGGATAAAATGTTGTGTTTATTCATTATCTTTATTTATATTGAGTATAAGATGATCTTAAATACAGTTCTATAGGTTTAAACTATTTATAAAAGTGCAATATATTCCTTTGAACATCACCCAACATGTGAACTTTTGATAAGTAAAATTGTGTTCACAGAATCTGAAATAAAATTTAAAACTGAATTCCATCTGAATAATTTATAACCATAAATATGCGTTCCTTCTAAACAAAGAATTCTGACCTATGTAAACAAAAAATATCCCATTCCCTTATTTATATTCATCCCTATTTAATACAGAAATTTAAGTTTTTGAGAATTATTTCAAATTTGAACATAATGTTTGTAAAAGGTTTAGTATAGCTATTTACATAATCTCACCAAATATAAAGTTGTTTCTTAGGAGCGCACATATATTTCCAATCTAAATCATACACTAAAATTGGTGCAAAAGAAGGAATACCAAGAAATTTGACAAAAATATACAAATTTTGACATGGTTTGTTAATATGGTAACTCATTTAATGTGAAAACAGACTTTATTTTCTACACCTTGTACCTTAGTATTGTAGGAACAAATTCAAGAATATGTATGGTAACTTTAAAATGCACTTATATTTGGGCCAAATAAAGGCCTTATTGCCCTGACTCCTTTCACATACAATGACATAACATCCTGATAAATAGAAAATTTAGAAATTTTGCTTCTTGTAAGAAATTATATCATCATATCCAAAAACTATCTGTAAGAAAATGATTTTAGATAGCATCATATTCAAGCAATTTAGTTTCATATTACCAAGAAATTAAAAGACCTAGTAGAACACTGCATTCTAAGTACATGTATCTGATTTGCAAGAGTCTATTGACTAACAAAAGACATCCTATAAACTTTTAAGTTCAGAAACATTCTACAGTTACGAGATAACTGCTTTAGCTTTTATTTTTACTGAAAGTTACAATGGTCACCATGTTTTTATCTTTACGATATCTTACAAAGGCAAACATTTAAGAATAACGACATTATGGAAGCTTACAATTGGTATACAATCTGTAAATGTAAACATTGACTTGGCCTTGTCATCCATACTGACGTGGTACAGTATACACAAAACAATCATCTTGTGGTTCTCATTATCTAAAACAAAAAGTGTTACCATAGTTATTGTCACTTTATTGAAAAAAAATTACATAATAGCAATAAGTTAACTTAACAGACAAAAATGACTAGATATCACATATCAAAATGGTCTGTGTTTGCCTCTTTTTGGAGCATTCCCTGCTCTGTATTTATTTCTTGATGTAGTCTTTTTTGTTCCTGACTCTTCACAGGATCCATTTCCATTATGTTCTCAAATTCATTTCCTTATCTAAAATGTTGCTATGGTACTAACACCAACATAGTTTTCAATGGATAAAGAGAAAATGACATGAAATTTTACCATATATTTGATATAAAAAAGAAATGTTTGACTTTTGAATCCACATGGAATATGTCATTTCTCGTTATACATACTGTATATTCAGAAATTATTGCGAGGTTTTTATCAATGCGAATAATGCAACTTGGTGAGTATCGCAATAATAAGAACTCGCAATCTGAAATCTAATACGTATATCTGTATGCAGATTTCCCTGAAATCGCAATATTTAATCTCGCATTTATGTCCATTCTTTAAAAATCGCAATAATAAATGCACGCAATAATTTCTGAATTTACAGTAATCAAATCTTGTTTTATAATACTGTGAATTCATATTTATTCATGGGATACCCATTTTCAATGATTTCATGGGTACAAATGAACCACGAAGTTAAATGTTCTTGTTTTCTAAAACTGTGAATTAATTTTTATTTGTGGGATATCAATTTTCAAGGATTTCGTCGGTATAAAAGAACCACAAATTAAATTTTTTACAAGTCTCTACATTAAGGCATTAAGTACAAATTTTCTTATGGCTAATATGCAAACGTTAACAAGACCCTGAAAATTGGTAACCTAGCTAAAAAATGAATAAATTCACAGTATCTATATTAATGCCTAGCAAGCCATCCTTCCAAATCTAAAAATATATATCTGTAGCAGAGGACACTTTCATACTTACAAGACAGTATAACAATATATGGTAATTAACATAACAAACACAAACTAATCAAATAGTCTTCCAGAAGTTTATACTAAGGTTATGTTTATATGGCCTTAACTCTGTGTTTATAAGATAAAATATTTTAAAATATTAGTTATTTGGATTTTTCTGGAGTTTCATTAATTTCCCAATGCTTAAGTTCTATAATAGATATATTAAAATTTTCCAACAACTGTTTCTGTTAAACAAATCCTGGTTGAAATAATACTATATTAGGTTGTTGTCTCTTTGACACATTCCCCATTTCCATTCTCAATTCTTTTACTGAATCTATACAATATAAATTTTGAACTTCTAGGGCCAATCCAAAAAGATACAGATGAGACATGAATCTTTTGTCAGTCATGAGGATGTAAAAATCTGAAACTGGAAAACTAGATTATCAAAATCTGTAAATAAATCAAAATGAACAATTAACCTGTTTCTACTTGAAAGAAGCAGATGTTTGTTATAAAGAATAAAAGTCTTTTAGACCTCCTACATAAATTTTAATGGAATAACCTTGACTATAACGGTGCTGTTAAGACTTACTTAGTAATCCTACAAGTTTGGGTAACAGTCCAAATTTAACTATCTTGCTCCTAAGTTCAGAATCAAACGACAAATTCAATAACAGTCTTAATGTAATGTTGAGTAAATCTTCATGGTCACAGGGAATCAGTTTTGTTAACTTGCTGATAACATTTTCTTTTGACTGAAATAACAAATCATTGTAATTATTAACAGAAAATAGAAAATTAATTTATGTACATCTAAAATATAATGTTGTTAGATGTCTGTGTTCTTTTAGTGGAGGGGGGCTCGATGGCTGAGCAGTCTAAGATGTCAAACTACTGTTTAACTAGCCTATCAACACTGAGGTTGTGAGTTCGAATCCCACACATAGCAGGTGCGCTCAACTCCAATCTTAATAGGATTGTCAGTTTTCTCACCAATGTTTTATCTGGCTTCCTCCAACAATAAAAAGTGACCGCCACGAAATAGCAACACCAATCAATCAATCCATCTTTTAGGGGAGTGGTTCTGAATACTCCCATGCATAGCTTCAATGAGCAGTGCATAAGCAATTATGTCAAAGGTGGCATGTTTATTCAAGTCCAAAAGTAAGGTAACCAGACAATATCATCCTATTTATTTATCAATTAAAACTAACAAATCTTTAGAATCAAAGGATTGCTTAATTTTACTGGTATTGCATAAGGCCATGCTTTTCTAAGGCTGTTTACTAATGGCTAATTTTAGTTTTGGAAAACATGGGTTTATTTATTGGTGGAATTTGGCTTTGAACTAGCTATCAGTATTTGTGGGAACTCTTAAAATGGTAACTTGTATTTTTTACCATTTTGTTAAGAATTTTGTTGTGCTCAGTTCAGATGTAATGAGTCATGCCCTTTCCAACTGATTTTTACATTGTTATTATGTTGTGCTGTTACACCACAACCCCAGGTTAGGGAAGGGTTGAGCGACCACACACATTCAATCTTTTTTGTGCCTTTCCCAAGTCAAAAGCCTGTAATTGATTGGCTTTTAATTAGAAACTGTCTGCCATATTTGTTTATTTTTTAATTATTTTAACATAAATCAGGTAATCTTTTTCTAACTGTTTCACATTGTGTCATGCCAGGCCATTTTATGGCTTACATGAAATTTGTTTGGCTCATTGTTGAAGGCCTTAAGGTGGTCTATAGTTGTCAAAGGTAGAAACAAGTTGTCCTATGCTCTTCTCAAATAATATTGTGCCTTTTAATGCTGCTGCATATCTCAACTTATTCTTTTCCTGTTTTTTTTTTTCAATAAAATTGGTTATAACTAAGCAACATTTTTTTAAAGTAATTATGGCCAAAAGTACAGTAGATTATGGGAAAGTCTTTTGTAAGTAGTGATGTATAAAATGCAAGTTGCAATAAAAATTTCTTTCAGGAGTTAAGATATTTGTGCTCGCCTTACCATTTCTTTCAAGAGCTAAAGATATTTGTGCTAGCTTACCATTTCTTTTTTATTTTCAATAAAGATGCTTAATTTCTTCAAGAAAGATACCACCAAGATCAACAATTCAAAGTTATCTCTCTCTAAACATTTCACCAACATTTTGACCACATTCTTGTTTTTCATCTTCATTTCTACTGCTAGATCTTCTGATAGGTTGAGTAACAGGTAAAATGCAACTAAATATTGTGAAAGGAAATACATTTATTAACAAATTATAGAGTATATGGAAGACAATTTTAAAATATCTGCATATAGAAAAATAGATACACTGTGAGGCATTGCTCAATAATGATTTACCTGCTAAAAAATGTGACGAAAATATTTATGATATTTTTAAAATATAAATTTTCAGCATGCAGGAAGTAGAATGTAAAAAACTGAAAATGTGTTAGACAGCATGACAGAACCAGACGAGACTTGATGTATATCAAGAGGTCAAATTTCATCCAGGACATAACTTATGCAAAAACTATTACTCAATAAAAGACATACCCTGTATATTCTCAAGCAAAGATATTCAGCTTTGAATATAAGATTGTATAGATAAAATTATCAATGATTTAATAATGGTAACAGAGATAGAAAGTTTTTTTCAATGTGCTTTTTGAAGATTCTGACATTTTTGTTATGTTTGGGTTTTTTTTGTTATTATTATAGTCTCTAACTTTACTTTTGACAAATTGAAAATAAGTGCATTTTGAAAGACCTCGATTAAATTGGTTTTTTTTCCCGTGTACAGTTTAGCAAATATAAAAAAGAAGATGTGGTATGATTGCCAATGAGACAACTCTTCACAAGAGACCAAATGACTAGAAATTAACAACTATAGGTCATTGTACGGCCTTCAACAATGAGCAAAGCAAACACTATTATCCTAATGAAAACTGATTATTAATAATTATAACATTGGTTGCAATGCATATGAAATACCATGATTTCCCTGCAGTTAAATAAAACACGATAATTTCACATTTGAAACAAATCTGACAATTTCACTCCTCTTATAATAATGGGTGTTGTCAAAAACATTATTCAAAACAGAAAAAGGAAATGCCTAGCAACATAATTCCATGAATTAATTAGGCAGTTAGTAGTCTTATTTGAATTTGTTATTTATTCATGTTGATACCTTTTATAGCCGTCTATACAGTATGGGTTTTTCTTATTGTTGAAGGTTGTATGGTGGCCTATAATTGCTTACATACACTTCATTTGAACCCTGGTGGATAATTGCCTCATTGGCAATCATAAAACATCTTTTTTTTTATATAGTAGGCAAAATTTGTTTAAACCAGGAAAACATATATATATATATATATATATATATATACAAAAATATGTTTTTTCTTTGATCTACAAAATTTGATACATGTACCAATACCCATCAAAATAAATGATTCCACAGTATGCTGTTTCTGTATTAAAACTATAGGTGTTGTTAATTGTATTTACCTCTGAGTAGCTGTTCTTGTTTCTTTACCAGTTCTGAGAATTTCTTAACACTCTTTTCATAGTCTTCCTTGACCTTCACATTGTCTTTGTCTGATTCTGGTGAACTAAGTTAAGGTATATTTTGATAAGTTACCAGATTTATCATAACACTTATGCTCCAAAGAGCCTGTTTTGCTAAACTTGTATCATGCCGTATAATAAATCAACTTAAAGACCAGTACTGTTAAAATATGTTATTTTGGAAAGATAATACACTTTAGTTTCCCTTAATCATACCTTAATGTTAAATAAGAAAATTTCAATGTTCTTTCCTACAGTCATGATAGTGTTTAACATATATGACACTTTAATTAGATGAAATTTCAAAATTAATAAGCATTCTGTGAGTATTGCATGGCAATAGACATCTTCGCTAGCCAAGGGTTACGATCCACTTCCTTCCTCTCCACCCTTGGCAGATTAAGCCAACATTTGTAATAACAATGTTGCGACATCTATCGGTAGATTAAAGTCACGCCCATTCCGAAACCATTATTCTTGACCAATGGTAGCACTTGAACTCTTCAATTTGGAGGTAAAAACACGGTAGCGTCTAGATTCTACACACTTGGTAAAGCAGGAAACAAAAATATACGTTGACATTCATGCATTTGTGCAAGAAACATACACAGGAACTTCTATTAGTTGATTAAAAACATTCAAATTGTCACTAAATATAGTCGTATGTTTAGGGATGTAAAGAATTGTTGCACAATAAGCACGTGGCAATTGTTTACATACACTTTCTACATTTACACGTGATCATGTTAAAGGCGCTTTTTGATTGGATGCAGCGAGTTTCGACTGCAACCAATGAAAATCATTACCTTGTGTCTCCGAAATTCTATCTCAATCTGCTAAGGGTGGAGAGGAAGGAAGTGGATCGTAACCCTTGGCTAGCGAAGATGGCAATACATAGTCCCCTACCGGTTACAAATTCATTGTTATGGAACGAAATTCTAACTTGATCTATAACTTGTCATGGTGTAAACTACATAAAAATATCAAGTCAAAATCTTCAAGCATGACGAAAAAAACTGTTGAAAACTGATTATTTAAGTGAATTTTCTATGTCCAAAGACCATAACTCTGCACAAAATTATCAGACTGGAACAAAATTCCAACTTGATCTGTAACTTGTCATGATAAAACTATATACTAATTATCAAATCAATATCTTCAAGACTGACAAACAAACCTAACACTAAATTCTTCAAACAATTTACCAAAGAAAAGGAAAAAAATTCAAAATGTCATTTTGTCTTTTAAATCTTTTAAAAAATGAGTTATTTCCCTTTGAACAGAAATCTACTAATTAATAAGTATTTCATCAAATATTTAATTCTAGGGAAAGGTTTTAACTGAACAAAGAGAAAAGCTAAAATCGTGAAAATTGAACTTGACCTGTAACTTGTCATGATAAATCAATAAACCAAATATCAAATCAATATCATCAAGCACAAAGAAAAAAAGTCTGGAAAACTGATTTGCCGGACTGACAGATGGACAGACAGACAGACAGAGTGCAAACCTAAAGTCCCTTTCAACTTCGTCGGTATGGAACTAAAAATTCGTAGGGGTTCCGCGGAACCCAGTGTCTCGCCTACTTTTGCTGTTAATCGCAGGCTCAACAAAAATGAGGAAAAAAATCAATAAAAATATTCCTCTCTATACTATCTTTTGATTGTAAGAAGCTTCTGTCAAAGTTTGGTATAAATCCAGGATAGTTTATGAATCTAATAAATGTTTTAAAAACTTTAACTGCAGACTGTATTTAATGTTAACTGGAAGAAAAACTAAGTCCGTTTATAAGTAAAATATGGATAAACAGGTAAAAAATTTTAACAATATTTCCTACTAGATACTAGCTTTTGATCATAAACAAGCTTCTGTCCAAGTTTGGTACAAATCCAGGATAGTTTAAGAAAGTTATTAAAATTTCAAAAACTTTAACCACAGAGTGAATGTATTGTTTCCTGGCAGAAAAACTAAGTCCATTTACAAGTAAAATACGGAAAACAGGAATTTTATTTTTACAAAATTTACTTCTGGATACTATCTTATGATCATAAACAAGCTTCTGTCCAAGTTTGGTAAAAATCCAGGATAGTTTAAGAAAGTTATTAAAATTTCAAAAACTTTAACCACAGAGTGAATGTAATGTTTCCCAGCAGAAAAACTAAGTCCATTTACAAGTAAAATACGGAAAACAGGAATTTTATTTTTACAAAATTTACTTCTGGATACTATCTTATGATCATAAACAAGCTTCTGTCCAAGTTTGGTAGAAATCCAGGATAGTTTAAGAAAGTTATTAAAATTTCAAAAACTTTAACCACAGAGTGAATGTAATGTTTCCCCGCAGAAAAACTAAGTCCATTTACAAGTAAAATATGGAAAACAGGAATTTTATTTTTACAAAATTTACTTCTGGATACTATCTTATGATCATAAACAAGCTTCTGTCCAAGTTTGGTAGAAATCCAGGATAGTTTAAGAAAGTTATTAAAATTTCAAAAACTTTAACCACAGAGTGAATATTTGTGGACGCCGCCACCGCCGAAATGTAGGATCGCTATGTCTCGCTTTTTCGACTAAAGTCGAAGGCTCGACAAAAACCTTTACATGACAAGGTTGTCAAAATATGTCTCTAATGGGTATTACTCAAACCAGAATTTCAAATAGGGTGAATCCATTATTTGATCTGAAATATTGAATGGTGGTTGAGTTTCATAGCAAACACAATTTTGAGTGCAGAGCTATGAAGGGCTAATATTTGGTTCTCATAGGCTGTTTTATATTCTTTAGACGTATCAATTAAATCAATTAAATAACTCAAAACTTTAAAAATACTAAAAACAAAAAGGATATCAAGTTTCTTCTTTTTCTGAAGTTCATCATTCCATAAATCATATTTTTTCAATTCATGTTCTAAAATGTTCATACATAGAGCTCCTATCTTAAAATGTAGGATAACACCATGAAATTGTGTAAAACTGGAGAAACAGAAAAATATGTAAATAATGTTAGTTGCTAATTCTGTGCTTTTCTTCCAATCTTCTCGTAACACTCGAGCCAATGCACCAATCACCGTCTCTAAAAAACACATACTTAAAATTTTTGAATACTATATCATATAATATACTTATATAACATACTTTACATCATTAATTATCTTCTAATGACTGTTGGGATGAAAAAGAACAACATAAGCACCGATTATAATTTCTTTGTATGTCTTGGGGGATTAATATCAAGTGCTTCCATCAATTTTCAATATATCTGTTCTTGAAGGAAATGGCCTAACTGCAACTATGTTGTGTTGAGGTGGCTTTAGAAAAAACATTAAAACAATAATCAAACGGAAGCATTTAAAGTTTCTTTACTCCTCCTTTCTGTCCAGTGAACATCGGTACATGTAGAAAGCAGTCCTCCATCCCTTGGTCACTAAGGCCAACTCCTGAAACTTGATATAACAGGTACTTATCTATAGCAAGATAAGTTTTGAAACACCTGTTTTTGAATATGGTTTCACTCACTTATAAAATTATCTTACATAAATCTTTGATAGTCTCATTAAATATATATTTACAACTTGAATAGACTCTAGATAACAAAGAATTTGTAATTTGGTACAGACTCGTCTGTAGTCATGATAGTTGAAATCCTTTTGTTGACCTTTGGAAATATTTTTTTTATTTTATTGTTTTATGTTTCTGTCTCATTGACATATATCCCATAGCCTTTTTATCTTTCCTTTTTTTATAAAGTTGCAGTGGTGTTAAACCCAATCATTCAGACTTAAATACAAAAGTAAAATTATTTTACCATTGGCGAAGAGTTCCTCCAGATTGTCTGGATTTCTTGATAACTGTAGCAATAATGCTGATCCACGGATTTTCTCAGGAACATCCTCATACAGCAATTCCATATAATCATCAACATCATTGATATTAGCAACCTCGTCTATCTCTGTGGCATCATAGGTTGGCACTTCAGGATTTTCTTGTAATTGTGTTTTACCAGATGCTGTAAAAAGTTAAGAAATTTCTTTATCTTATAGGCTAAAATAGTATAAGTGTTTTCCTGCCTCCTGCTACAAAATCAGTATAAATCACATTTTTTCTCCAAGTCCAATTCAGATATGTTAATTTGTCCATATCTATGATGTGTGATGTATTTTTTTTCCTCAATTTTCAATGTAATGACAACTTATTCAATGAATTGTGTTCAGTTTTATCCTGTATTTGATTAAATGTGTCAAAAGAATTTTAAGATTTGTAGTCTACTTTAACATCTCAATATGATTTTTCGGTAAAATATTTTTGGCATGGAAATACATTTTTTTTAAAAAGGACTTAACATGTCATTGGCCCCTTAATTATGTCAATAATGTATGTCTGAATATAATATTTATAGTTTATAACATGTCTTTTTCCATCTCTGCCCTGGTTTTATCCCAAGACTCACATATCAGTCCAAGCGTTAAGCCAAGGGCTCATATGGGTTAAGACATTATACCAGGGCCAACATTGAAAAATGCATATTATAATTTATTAACATGTATCGCAGGCTAAATGAATGCTTAAAAAAGTGGACAAATTTGAATTAGTCACTGGCAAGATACATCTATGTTCATTTCCTCCATTGAAATATTTTCATTATTATAAAGCTGCCCTATAATTCCAATTGTCAACTTCTTTTTTTTTAAAGTGTACCTGTAGTGCTCTTTATTTGTTTTATAAACTCTGCTGTAATTTTTGTCAACATTGACAAAAAGAGTATCTTACCTGTCAGCCATTTTTGTTAGAAAAGCTTATCATGTTAATGATGTTATTGAGAAGAGGGAAAAATAACCCAGGGCAGAATATGACTAGGGCATTTCTGTGGTTATCAAATATATATATGTAACACTCCCAAACGTGTCCATCCCCCCAAACGTGTCAGATTCCCCCAAACGTGTCTATTCCGCCCAAATGTGTCCGATTTCTAACCCCCCGAACGTGTCCGATATTTGTTATTCGCCAAAACGTGTCCACTTTAAATCGCCTCAACGTCTCAAAACTTTTAGCGCTATTATGTCTTCAGTTACTTAACGATTATGAATTATAAGGTTGGTATCAGGGATGCTAATGATACATGCAAATTTATTTCTCTTGTTCATGTCTCTTTAGTGATACTCGAACCAAAAATATTTTAAAACTTAAAACTTAATACCAGTACATACTTTGAAGAGCTGATAGAAAATGTGCATCATCTTTTTAACTGTCACATTACGTTAAATCAATTGTGAAAGAGGTAATAATCGACTGACACAAATAATGGATCAACTGATTGCTTAACGTTTTGTGGCAATTATTTCATGCATATTTAAGTCAATAAATTGATTGGTTGTTTGTTGCTTAACGTCCAGTGGCAAATATTTCATGCATATTCAAGATGAGAACATATTTACAATAAATACAATATGTAGATCTATCTCTCCCTACACAAGGCTTCGGATTTAACATCCCCATTCTGACCGGACGTGGCTGCGTACTTTACATCCCGCACAGCCAAACGGACGCCCCACTTTGGCAAGGGTTTTACTGTCGGTCGGAAGAAGACCTAAGTGACCATATTTCTATTCTCTAGTCTTACTTGGGGATAGGACAATAGATGAAAGAGTAAAAGGAGGATACGTCACTGAAAGAGCAATAACCAAATTTGTTATTGAAGAACATTATATATTTAATATTGGTGGACATGTTATTGCTATTTGAAGGCAAACAATTAACTTATAATAACTAAATGGGCATTTAAAAATATGAACAAGATTGAGCGTTCAAATAAAGGAGACGTTTAGGTTTTATATGGACACGTTTGGGCGTTCTTAAAAAAATGGACACGATAGGGCGTTCTTAAAAAGGACACGTTTTGGCGCCCTTTAGCACCTAGACATGTTTTGCGGTTCAGTGACGTTATATGGACACGTTTGGGGGAATCGGACAAGTTTGGGGGGATGGACACGTTTCTGAGTGTTACATATATATGCTAAAAAAAACAATGGTTGTCATGTTTATGTAACAAATATGTGATTAAAGTATAATACTAACCTTTACTGGGGGGCCCTGTATCTTTCCGACTTTGTAGATAATATAGTAACTGCTCTACTTCCAGTAACTTAGAAGGATGTATTAGTTTACATTTATCAATGATTTCTTTTGCTAAGGTCGTCAAATCACTGCTTGGGTTTAAACTTTTAACTCGGATTCTAAAATTAAAAATATTTAAATTAAGACTCTTGTTCATTTGATTTGATTTGATTTTTGGTGTTTTAACGCCACTTTTAAGCACCGCTTTGGGCTATTTCGTGGCGGCCAGTTTTTATTGGTGGAGGAAGCCGTAGTGCCCGGAGAAAACCACCGACCTTTGATAGGAAAACTGACAATCCTAGTCAATTAAGATTGGAGTTGATTGCACCCGCACGAGCGGGGTTCGAACTCACAACCTCAGTGTTTTTACTGGCTAGTGATTACAGTAGTAATTACTTAGACCACTCGGCCACCGAGGCCCCGACTCTTGTTCATGTCCTAAATCATGTTCCAAATATATATATAGATCTGTATAAAAAGAAGATGTTAAACATGTTAAAGACAACATATTTAATACATTTAAATCAATTAAAAAAGCTTTTGGCCATATTGGTTGAAAGCCACATTACAATACCAATATGCCTGCATAAAACACATCATGATAAACCAGTTTGTCTGGCAAATGTCTGTCAAGATTAGAAAATCCATGGATTGAAAATTATGAGACAAGTTGGGAGTCCTTTCACAGTATCCATGAAAATAAATCTCTTTACCTATTCTAGCTATATATATAGGTTACCCATCAAGGGTTTTAATTGAATTAATAAATATTCTTTATTCTAATCAGGAATGGTAATTTGTAGTGGCATCAAAAGATTTGAGAATGGTATTGGTGTGGCTTGCTGTGAGAGGCATATTCATTATTATTGTATTCTATATTTTCTAATGGAAAGTAAATGTAATGGTTCTTTACATGTGTGCTTGACAAAAACAGATGGTACTTACATATATCGGTTGAGTTATAAATAATTTTATGATTCACAAATTCTCCAACCCTTACATCTTATTTAAGGACTACAATGAAGAAAAGGATTAGCAATTTATAAATGAATTGATTTGTTTTTCTCGTTGCAGTGACTTGGCAGAGAATATTTAAAAAGGACAACAGAAAGTATACACCTACATTTTCTGACATTCTTTCCTCTCCCCCAACATTGGATCTCCCAGTTCTCCAAGTATTGTTGCCTCCAGTTCATAGTTAACAACCAAAGCTTTTTCTGTAGGATGAACATCAATACTACTGAATTTTACTTTTCTGAAAATGTTAAAATACATTCTTCATGTTCTTAGCTTATAATATATATTACACTTAACCTTTTGAAGGCATCTGACATTTATCCAAATCTACATCTTCAGTGCAACCATGACTTTGTATTTACCATGTGCAACATGACAGGTGGCTCTTGTGGAGCAGGATCTGCTTACCAATCCAGACCACCTGAGATCACCCCGGTGTTGATTAGGTTTGTGTTGCTCAGTCGTTAGTTTTCTATGTTTGTGTTTTATTGACTTTATTTCTTTTCATTACGTTTTGCCATTGTGTCATCAGTATATAAGAAACAAATTTCTGTTGAAAGATAGCACAATTTACCAGTCATGCCAGCCAGTCATGTGTAATACTTATACAAGTCATATTTATTCACTTGAAGATGTAAGAAAAATTTAACTTGCAAAAGTAATTTTATAAAATTTTAAATTTCATTTCAACATGCTCAAGATTTGAATAGACTTCATGATCTTCCCGTGATCATCTCCAAACATTACTAACGATTTTTTGTACATTGTATACAAGTAATATTTTTACTACCCCTTAGTTTCTCCACATGCATGCATGCTTATACAATTTTTACTGGTTTGTTAATATTTTTTTTAATCAGCTTATTAGAGTTTCAGCTGTTTATCTCAAGAACTAAACTCAGAAATCTACTGTACACAGACATTAAGAATAAAAATCAAATCCTTGCAGTGATTTAATAAAACAGAAGATGTGGTATGATTGCAAATGAGACCACTCTTCACAAGAGACCAAATGACACAGAAATTAACAACTATAGGTCACCGTACGGCCTTCAACAATGAGCAAAGCCTGTATCGTATAGTCAGCTATAAAAGGCCCCGAAATGACAAATGTAAAACAATTCAAAAGAGAAAACTAACGGCCTAATATATGTACAAAAGAATGAACGAAAAACAAATATGTAACACATCAACAAACGACAACCACTGAATTACAGGCTCCTGACTAAGGACAGACACATACATACAGAATGTGGCGGGGTTAAACATGTTAGCCTGATCCCAACCCTCCCCCTAACCTGGGACAGTGGTGTTACAGTACAACATAAGAACAAACTATAAAAATCAGTTGAAAAAGGCTTAACTAATCAGATGGATACAAATAGAAAAACATCTAACAAAAACACAGAGTGGCCGTGGCTGGGTACTTGTACATCCCAACAACAAAAAGACACTAAGTACAGATCTGAGAGTACTCGCAGTTACTGACAGCTAGTTCAAAGTCAATAGCAACTAATAAAAAAAATCATGCATCTAAGACTAAATTATCAATCATTACACATCCAATGGATTTATTGTTAAGACGTCATAGTTATTTTGCATGTTTAGTGTCATGATTTGATACACCATTTGTGTTTACTAAAAGAGGAAATGGAAGGACAAGATAACTTCTTTTCATGATGCCCTGCTCATTTTTGACAGATTGTGGCATCCTGACCTTTTCCGTCATATTTTATAACACCCTGCCATACTGCATGTACTGTTTGTGATTGGTAGTGACATTGGTACAGCTATTCATCTTCTAAAATTTCTTCTCCAAGTCCAGGCGAAGAAAAGCTTTGGCATTATGCAGCTTAGGTAGGCATCACAGAAAACAAATTAAAAAAGCCTTTCAACATGTTCAAGACTCATATTAATCATTTTATCTAGCAGTAGTACTATCCTGAAATAAGGTCAACTGGACTTATCGACACCAAATATAGCTAGACAATGTAGTCTAAATAATTATGACACCTTGCAAGGCAATTTCAATTTGTTCTTTGACCCCTTCGTAGCCCAAATAATTATGGCATCTTGACTATTAATTGTATCCTCTGGCACTACTGGACGATGCTTAATTAACCGTGTTCATGGTGTTAATAAAATATCTGCATAAAATGTATATTATGTGGAGATCAGAGAGATAAAGCAAAATCGTCTTATAACCGCTACCTTTTTAAGTATCTGGCCTCTTCGACTTGCATTTTGAACTATTCTTATTTGAGTTTTAACATAAAATTACTGAACGTTCATTCGATTCGGATGTCCATGGCAAAATATTTATGAATCTGGTTTCTTAACTTCTTGATATAGGAAATAAGTATAACAAAGTTCGGAAACCAGTTAAATATAGTCTTTAACCAAACATAATAACATAAATTAAAAAAAAACGGTTAAATAGAAATACATTTTTTTATGATAAACTATTTTATCAAAACTTGATACTCTACAAGTTATTAATAGATATATTCAGCATAGTTAATATAGAGATTAAAATTTTATACTGGTTTCCACATTTTCGCAGAAGAAGGCAAAATATTTAATAAATGAGCAGGAAACCAGTCTCCAGAACAACATGGATCAAGGAACAGAAAAATTTTACGGTGATGCCAAGAAACATTGGGAGTCAATTCCTCCAACAGTTGATGGAATGTTGGGTGGATTTGCAAAAATTTCACCTACAGATATTAATGGTTCAAGAGAGTTTATTAGACCATTTATAACGGTAAACAATAAACACACAAAACCTTTCATTTTTATTTTCAGGGCAAATCGTTGCCTAGTCAAAATTATCAGAACCTAATCAAAGTCATTTCGGCATTTGGTTAATCAATTCGGCACCTGATATCCCAATAATGAATTCTAGTCACTTCGGCACTTGGTTAAATCGGCACCTCGTCAAATCGGGACCTGGTTAATTCAACACTGATGCAGTTATTTCGGCACCCACAATAAAAATTGTTTTGCAAGTAAACTTTTAAAGACTTTGTTTTTCATGAATTATTTTTAATATGAGGCAGGCATTACCTGTGAAAGGGGACGAAGTCTATTTAAATTTTTTTTTTAATTCAAACATATTTTAGATATAAGTTCTAAATCTGTTAAAAAAGAAACAGAAATACCGTAACGTTTCCGATTTTGGTTCTGTTGTTAGGAATTTTAGTTGTGACGTTATTTTAGTTATGACGTCATATTCAATGTAAACAAAGAAACGCTATCATCAGGTAACGTTATTTCATATCAAAGAATAATTTAATAGAAATGAAATTGTTATTGTGTTCCTTCCTATATTTTACTGGACTGATAAATATATATTTCACTCAAAGTCTCATGACAAACGAAATAGGAAGAAGGAAGTAGATTTCTGCGCAAATGCCGGAATTAAAAAAAGTTACAAAAAAAAAGTTAACGATTTTGAGTTTATTAGTACAATGAAAATTTCAGGAAATTTTCCCAATTTTTTTTTTTTTATCGATTTTTCTACTGTAATAGGGGACTTCGTCCCCTTAATATTTTCACTCGAGGTGTCAAGGTATATTTGTTTTTTTTTAATTATAAAACATCAAAAACTACCAGAAAATTGTTAAAACAACAAAAGGGTCATTGTTTGTAATTGATATAAGTTTTTAAAGTGATAACCAACCAAAACATCATTAATGCTAATTATTCTCAAATAAAAAGGAAAGAAAACAGCAAAATAAAATTAGATGCCAGCTGAATTATCAAACGCCAAAATGACTGTAAATAAGTGCCGATTTGACTAGATGCTGATTTGATCAAATGCTAATTGACTTTTTCTATAGGTGCTGATTTGACTTGTACCCAGTAACAAACTTGGACTATAACAAAATCAGCCTTGGACTACTAGAAGAAAATAAGTATGATGATTGATGTTATTTTCTTTATTTTGAAATTAATTATCAGTATTTCATGACTTTATTTTAGATCAATTTAGAGTTTAAGAATAATTGAGTAATTTATTTTGAACATTTTACAAGCAAGACATATAAATTACGATAACAATATATAAAAAAGAAAAGTAAGGCTAATTTCAAGTTACCATTTATTTGTCTTTTCTTTTCTTTTCTCTTATTTTTCTTTTCTTTTCTTTTCTCTTATTTTTCTTTTCTTTTTAAAATTATTTATCATATGCATGACTTATTTGATTGAACTGGAAATATGACATCATACTGCCATGTGTATTGTTGACACCTTTTTAATCACCTTGATTTAACTAATAACTGGCATGTGTACTGCTGACACCTTTTTAATCACCTTGATTTAACTAATAACTGGCATGTGTACTGCTGACACCTTTTTAATCACCTTGATTTAACTAATAACTGGCATGTGTACTGCTGACACCTTTTTAATCACCTTGATTTAACTAATAACTGGCATGTGTACTTCTGACACCTTTTTAAATATCCAAGTGAGAACATAACTGCCTGTAATTACATGAAATTGTAATTAACCAAATGCTCAAATTCAAATTCTTTATTAACTTTGAGCCTTATGGCTCATCAGTGTATTCAAATACAGTATATATACATTGTACATATGGCATATTACAAACTATATTAACAATACATGTATGTATAAATAATAATAGGATAAGATATTTTATTAATCAATCATGGTGCCCAAAATTTGAACTATACAATCAAATGAATTACAAAATAAAGCACAGTATCATAAGAAATAATACTCTGGTATTCAATGAAAAATTCATTCAGCAAACAGTCTGGACCATGACTTCTGTCACTTTTAAGTTCATGAGTTGCCTTTAATATCTCATCAGCAGTAATATCTGCATCTAACTCATCAAAAACACAGTCGTTATTAATCACTTCAGGTCTCTTGTTACTAATATGCACACTTGATGCAAGTTCTTTGAAATAATAAAAAAAAGTCAGTAATGTTTAAATCACATTTCCTCTGATTTTTTTTCTCCTAAATAATGAATAAAATTTTCTTGGATTATCTTTCATTTGTTTACATGTAACATACAGTCAAGGGTACTACTTGTACAAGTTATTTTCATTTACTTGAAGAAGTAAATAATGATATACTTATATAAGTACATTTGTTATATTCATATTTTCTTATAAGGTTTGAATAATCTCCCCTTAATTTTCTCAAAAAAATTACTTCTATAAGTAATTTTTTTTACAATCCCTAAAATTCTCAAGTTTTGGGATGTTAAAACATGCCTTAAACAATTTTTCTCTGGTTAGCTCATAATTTTTTATTAGAGTTCAACATTTCATCTCATTTATTCAACAAAGAAACTAATTGTGCAAAGATCTTAAGTAATTGCCCAAGGCCTCCAAAAATTGCCCCTTGGAGGCTTGTAAATGAGCAGTGTTTTGAAGATAACAGACAAATGAGATTTTCATTGTCCATGATTAGTAAAGACATCTGCAAAGGACAAACCATTGAAAATTCTATTAGAGCAAAAAAGTCCTGAGAAATTCAAGAAAAGAAGATTTTTTACTTGTATAAGTAAAATAATCTGAATGTCTAAGGGACATAACTAAGCCGTTAACATTATTTACCTATATATACAAGTAAATAAAATACACTTTTATAAGTATCTTACAAATTTACTTATATAAGTATACTAATATTTACTTCTTCAAGTAAATAACAATAACTTGTACAAGTAGTACCCTTGACTGACATACATGACATATGAATAGCCTTCCTGTCATGTATAACTACGTTTGTAATCTTTTACAGTAGTCAGTATATAGCACTTCTGTTCTAAACCTGGTTTATCGGTATTAATTCTCTGTTTCTGGCAGTTGCACTTTGATTTCGAGTTTACTTTTGGCATTTGTTTAAAGAAATGAGCTGTCACATTTGTTAAGCACTGAGTGAAGTTATTCACACATAAGTCCATACCTACTTGAGACAATATGTCCATGTTATCTATTGATTGTGTCTCAGAGTGATTATTTGTAATACTATTTGATAAAGAAAACACAAAGTTTACAAATTCTATTCCAGCAGATATCAACAAACATATCAATGCTTTCTTCGTTCAATGATATTTGATTATTTAATTTTACAGAGGATGAAGCACATGCAAAACACATCATGCACATAGAGCAATTTAAAAATCACACGAATAGCATATTTAAAACACACATAGCACAAAAAAAACATACAAAACACTCATTACACATACAAAACTGAAAGGCATATCTATGAGACAACATGCAGAAATAAATTGTCATTGTCAAAGCACATTTAAAGCACACATAGTACATTTAAAACACACCTAGCACATACTAAACATACATACATGTACATGTAGCACATACAAAACACTAAGGCACATCTAAAAGACAATATACAAAAATAAATTGTCATTGTCAAAGCACATGAAACATAAGCATAAACATAGACAAGACACACTATAGAAGTTTAATTTACAGTTCAAAAACCTAGGTGTGGCTAGCCGTAGGTGTTATCACACTCCTGAAGTAGCTGGGGTGCTGTTATGTCACCATCGGTATACTGGTCCCATAACCCATGAAGGCGACCTTCCATCTCCTTTTTGCTAATAAGTCTGACTTCGTGTTCATAATAGATATTCTTTTAAAAACCAGTTGTTGGCATGACACGGGTTATGTTCTTCTCATATATGTTATGATGGTATGATACTAAACCCCTAACGGGAAGGATTGTGCCTGATATTCATATGATGAAGACATAATCTTTCAATCAGTTTAATTGAAGTCTGGAGCTGGCATGTCAGTTAATTGCTAGTAGTCTGTTGTTATTTATGTATTATTGTCATTTTGTTTATTTTCTTTGGTTACATCTTCTGACATCAGACTCAGACTTCTCTTGAACTGAATTTTAATGTGCGTATTGTTATGCGTTTACTTTTCTACATCAGCTAGAGGTATAGGGGGAGGGTTGAGATCTCATAAACATGTTTAACCCCGCCTCATTTTTGCGCCTGTCCCAAGTCAGGAGCCTCTAGCCTTTGTTAGTCTTGTATTATTTTTAATTTTAGTTTCTTGTGTACAATTTGGAGTTTAGTATGGCGTTCATTATCTCTAAACTAGTATATATATTTGTTTAGGGGCCAGCTGAAGGACGCCTCCGGGTGCGGGAATTTCTCGCTGCATTGAAGACCTGTTGGTGACCTTCTGCTGTTGTCTGTTTTATGGTCGGGTTGTTGTCTCTTTGACACATTCCCCATTTCCATTCTCAATTTTATTTAAATAAACTCATCATAGATACCAGGATAAAACTATCATCATTTCTGTCCAGGCTTTTGATGTTCA